CACTAGTACATGAGCGCTAAAGAAAAAAGGGCAGCAACCTCACACAAGCAGCAGGTGAGTACGGATGCCTAGGATTTCTCTGGAATGGCTGAAACCTTCAATGGGACACAAACTGCTGTGCCTAAATTTTAACAAGATACAGAGATCAGCCTTAACTAAAATGAACCTATCTTCCATGTCATGGGCAAAAGACTTTCCAAAACCGAAATCAGTCAATACAAACCTAATCCCTGATAGCTGCTGAAAGACCTTAAAAGAGCTACTGAGGCCGAGCTCTAAACGCACGTGAGAAGCCATTGGCAAACACAATCCGGGTGTGCACCAGGGCCTCGCACAAACCTACCACGTTTCTTGGCCGGGGGTTTCTCATCCTCTTCGCTGGAGCTGTCACTGCTGCTGGCGGACGGCTTCCTCTTCGCCTGGGCGCCGTTCGGGACCAGCTTTCCCTTCTTGGCCGCCGGAGACCTGCGGGCAGAAGGGCTGAGCGGGGTCCCGCGGGGCGCGGGCCGGGCGGAGGGGCAGCGCACCCCGGGGGGACTTACCGCAGCCAGTAGGTGAAGATGTCCAGGAGGGAGGCCGCGTTGGGGTCCTGCTCCTTCTAAAGCGAGAGAGGCCACAGTCAGTCAGTCAGTCAGTCGGTCGGTCGGTCGGTCCGTGCCCCCGCCCGTCCCGTCCCGCCCGTCCCGTCCCGCTCCCCGCTCACCGCCGCCGCCTCCCTGGCGAGGGCGCGCGCGGCGCCCTGGCAGCCGCTCTCGCGCAGGAACGCGAGCACGAGGGGGAACAGGTCGCTGGGCACCGCGCGCCGCTCCGCCATCATGCCCACGCCGACACGTGCCGCGCGCGCACGCGCCCGCGCTTGCGTGCGTGCGTGCGTGCGTCAGTGCGCACGCGCGCCGCCGCGACCCCGCCCCTACCGCTGCCGAGTTGCCGCGCGGCGCCGCTCCGGGGCGCTGCCCGGCGTGAGGGGGCGGGCGCGCTCCGTGCTGCCGCTGCCTGTGGTGCAGCGGCGGGACGCGGGCTGGGAGCCCGGGAGTGACCACTCGGCTCTGGACTTGACTCTTAGACTTAAGTCCGCTTAAGCCTCACCAGCTTTCTCCTACCTGTGATCTGTTTTAAATCGCTGAAGGGAGAACGCTGGGGGAATGCTGGAGAGCAGGAGCTGGGTTGCCCCGGGGCGGAGAGCAGGCCGGGAGCTGCGGGCGGGCTCGGTGCCGGCAGAGCCCTCAGCAGCGCGGCGCAGCCCCGCAGGGCTGGCGGGCGGAGCTCGGGGCCGCTGCCGGCACTCGCCGCTACTCTCAGCCTGAACCCATACCGGAACGTACTGAATGCTCCTACAAAATCCCTACAGGAACAGAGGGAGCTGGTGAAAGTAACACCATAATCCTAAAGCGGCAACCTGTGAGAGACAGAAAAGGAATTTGAGACAAGGCTATCTGGAATATAGGCTTGAGGGGCTGCAAGGCGGGAGATAGGGTATGAAATAGGTATAGCTCAAGTAAGTGCAGAAGACCCGGACCTGACCTTAAATGGAGCTTCTGGACCTATGGAAAAGGGTAGATGTGGAAGCCCCAGATGAGGCTGAGCAGGACAAGTTTAGTGTGTTAGTGTGCTCACAACACTGATGAGGATGAGATTTAATTCACCTGTTGTATATTTAAGTAGCTTTAGTTACTTTTACAGGAAAGTTTTTTTTTCTGTAATACTGCAGATTTGCTCTGCTGGATGTACCTCTCTATTCCTGCCTTTGTGATGAATAGCACTTTTCTTCATTCTTTTCAATAGATGGTACTATAAATCTTGCTGAGGGCCAAGGAAGAAGAGAGTCCTGTACTTAAAGTCTAGATTTATGGCTGCCAGGGTCAAAAAAACAGTGGTAGGTAGGCAGTGTTTTGCTTTTTATATTTCCCCTACCTAGCTCTCTGCACTTAACTATTTCCAAATACTGCTGTTCTGTGCCTTGGTGCCCAATGAATACGCACAATTGGACGGGCTCTGTTCTCAGCAAATTGTGCCTGTTCTTGGTGTTTCTGGAAGGCCCCATGTTTGCACTCATGGGGAAGTAGAAGTCAGCTCTTGTGGTATTTTGTACTGTAAGATTCTGTAATTTTGTACAGATGCTGTAGCCTGTGTAGCAGAAAAGGGGTGTTGTGCTGAGGCTTGGTTAGATATGTTTACTTTTTGAGATTCCCTGTCCCTTTTATGTGTGGAATAACATGAGGCTGTGTTGCAGAAAGGAAACTGTTTGCAGGAACTAATATTTCTTAGTTTTTGTAGCTTCCCCTCTACAGTGACCTACAGCTGCAAGCTTCATCTGCAAAGCTCAGCAAACTTTTGTGTTTTTGCCTACATTGGAAAGGAAAAGATGCAGCTTTTGCTGATACACTGTTGTTACTTTAAGCCCTGCTGTGTGAAGTAACTGTGTGACTCTCCCTGGCTGTGCGGAGCCGGGGAAATGACTGACTGTGTTTGCTTCACTGGCTCACTTTGCTTCTCCTCTGGTTAATAAGTATCTCCCTCTCCTGCCTGGCCTTTGCCAGTTAGGTCTGTTCCCTGTGCTGTGTAGCCACTTCTCTTCAAAGGTGTGTGGCTCTCTAGGTGTGTTCCCCAATGCTGTGCCTGCAGCTGTCCAGATGACCTGGCAGGGAAAGCCATTTTGTCCTTGTATTCCCCAAGACAGTAGTGGGAGATCCTGGGATCTAAAAGGCAAGCAAATTCAACGGATTTGTTACTGCTTGTGAATTCCTCTGTTACCCTCACCTACTCCTCATAAGTCCTTTCAGTCCTCCCCTTGGCTGCCATGTCGCTTTTGTTAAGGCTGCAGGGAGAGTTATGCATGGGATCTTTTTAATATTACAGTGACTAAACTGTCCCCAGCACTCGAGGTGAGGCCACCCCAGTGCAGAGCAGAGCGGGACAATCCTCTCCCTTGCCCAGCTGGCCATGCCGTCCCTGATGCCCTCCTGGCTGCCCGGGCACTGCTGGCTCTTGTTCAACTTGCCATTGACCAGGACCTTCAGGCCTGTTTCTGCAGCACTGCTCTCCAGCCTCTCATTTCCCAGCTCATCTCAGAAGAGAACATTTCCATGAGAGGTCTCTGGCCTTTCCACTCTTTTCATGACCAAGAAAAAGTGAAGACAGATAGCATTAGTATTCAAACATGTACTCAGTAATTTCCTTGTTACTGCTTGTAAGTGCCTAGCAAAAAAAGCATTGGCTCCAGAAAGGGCAATCTAGTCCTTTTCTTTGGACAGTGATAAGACAGACCATTGAGAATAATGCTGCAAATGCAGCTGTGTTCGTATGCTGCAGTGAACTGAAGTGAGGAAAGACTTGTACAGTCAATTTTGGGCAAGGTATGATGAAATACTCCCTCTATTTCCTCTCTATTTTTTTTTCTTTAATTATTTCTTTAGGAGATTTGTAAGTGTTAGGCCTTCCTGCTGTGATAGGGTGTGAAGGGGCTTTTGCCTCAATTTGCTCTCTGAGTTTTTAGTTGGAGGTTGCTGAAACAACACACTTGCAGTTATTTTACCTAAGCTCATTTGTGGAGGCACATTAATTTCACTTTAGAGACTTGGGACGTTTAAATGCTGAAGAGGTTTCCTGTGGGCTTTGCATTGATTAAATAAAATGCAGAGTATGCTAAGTGACACTGACAGACGTGGAGAAACCCTGTGGGTTCCCTGGGAGCTGACTCTGCTAACCCTCTCTGTGCTACTGCAAGGTTTTAAAGAGAGAAAATTTAAAAGCTCATTTCCTAACAGCATGTTGAAATTCTCATCTAACATCAGAAAGATCATTTTGTTTTTAACTTTTTATACTGGAAGTTAGAAGATACACAGCTTAACAAGGGAAATAATGTGGAACAGTCATAAAGTCATCCATCTGTTTAAACAGTTCTTAATATATACTTGCTGTTGCATAATAGTAAAATAATTTGCTTAAAGATTCTTGTTTCCAACTAGTGAACTTTTGTCTTTCATATAAATCCCAAGTTGGGATTCTTCTCCAGTGTCTGTGTGTTCTTTATTCTAGTGTATATTTTTGGGATGATTCAGAGGGGAAAGTTATGGTTTCTTCTTTGCAAACCTGGAATTACTCATAAAGCTTTATCATCAGGAAGTGCTTTTTGTCCTAGTGCTTCCCTATTGAGAGAACACCTTGGTTTTGGAAGACAGGTAGTGGCATGCAGTTTGTAAGCTTAAAGTAGGTTTTCAGTAAAGAAAGATTTGGAGGTAACAAGAGAGTTTGACTAACTTCTGAGATAGAGTTTATTAGTGGAAAACAGGTGGTTCCTTTCTGCTTGTAACCACCTCTGTTCTAACACTAGTGGTGATGTTAAGCTGTGTACAGAATGTCGAATGACTGCCTTGACTGGGAAGCCAGATTGTAAGGAGTCTGCTTTTGCTGTGCCGAAGTGCATCAATGAAAGATCTCACTGGTTTTTCAAAGTGTTTTTTCAAAGTTTGCAAAGGAATAGGCTGAATAATTTAGGCAGAATCTGTTGCTTTGTCTCCAGTGACGAGATTAGTAAATTGAGTCCTACTCTCTGAACAATAACGGTGTCCTTCTGGCGCTTATTGTCTCTGTACTCAAACATGAGCACAGTCTTACAGAAACTGTCATTTGGAAGACAGCATCTTCTAGATGAAAACACAGAACATCGAGCTACTTCATTCTGTAGTGAGCAGCTTGGCTTCTCCCTAGGAGTTTTCCTTGCTCATAGAAGACATGAGAAAACCTAAGTTAGGGATGAGTATAAAACAGGGATCACTTGTTCTTCTCCTCAACTGTTGCTCCCGGTTTCCTGAGACCACTGTATTACTGTAACACAACTTTCCTCGCTGTAGCGCTGTTTCCTCGGCCACCTACGGAATGTGTGATAGGAGCCAGCTGGAAAAGGCAGTTTCCCTCCCTGGGGCAGAGTCCAGCCGAGCACCGGAAAGGCGACGCGCGGCCGGGCAGGGGCAGCCCGTGCCGGGCTCTGCAGGGGGCGCCGCGGGCGGGAGGCGGGGCCGGGAGGAGCCCGGAGCCGTGTCCCGTGCCGTGTCCTGTGCCGTGCCGGGGGCGAGGGAGCGGCTCCGGGGGATGCACCGCCTTGCTGCGCCGCCGATGTGAGGGAAGGGGAGCGCCAGTCCCGGACCATGGCGGCCCCCGGTAGGTGCCGCGGCTGCCGTCCCGGGAGCCGCGGGGAAGCGGCGGGGCTTCTCCGCCCGGCTGTGCTGCGCGGGGCCCCGCTGTGCTGCGGCGGCCCCGCTGTGCTGCGGCGGGCCGCGGCTCTCCGCAGCTGCCCCGCGGCGAGGTGCCGGCAAGCGGAGCGTGGCGGAGCCCTGCCCGCTGCCCCGCGGGGCGGTGCCGCTGCGCGGCTCTGCGCGCCCCTGGCGCTCCGCTGCCCGAGAGAGGGAAAGGGGTCCGCTCTCCGGGTTCAGGGAGCCCTGGCGCTCTTCGGAGCAACCGCGGCTCCTTCGCTCGTAGCGCTTTCCAGCTCCCCTTGCTTCACTTGTCTGGAGTTCAGGGCAGCTGCTGGCCGAGCTTTCCTGCGTCTTAAGTGCACTTCGGCTTGGCAGATCAGCGACTTCTGAGGGAGGGTGTTCTGTAGAGTATTTTGCTCCTCTCCGCTTGTACGACTTGCGTGTTTTTCTGTGATGTTTTATAGAGAAGTCAGTTTTCCCTAAATATGGCTTTATTCTTCAGCACCACTTCCTTTTGGGGGTATACTTGGTGTCCCTTGCAACAATGGCACAGGATCACAAGCTGAGCTAGTTTACCGTAATTGAAAGTGTTTTAGCTGACGTGTGTGCAGGTAAGACTACCTAGACTAAGAGCTGCAGACTCAAGGGGAGAGTTTAGCCTGTATTGTGTAAATCTTGCTAATGCCCAATTTGCAAGTTCCTCTCTTTGTAGGGAAGCGTAAGGGTTTTATCTAAAAAAGGAAAAAAACGTGCCATTCTCAGGGTGTGAAGTAACATTTGTGTTTCATTGACGCGTATCTCCTTGTGAGGTAAAAATAAGCTAAACGGAGGTCTCGGGAGACTTGTGGGCAAAACTACTTTTCTCCTTATAAACAGAAGGTGATTTCACAGAGACCCTTAAAAAAAGAACAACTTTAGATTAATGTATCGTAATGCAAATCTCTTGTTCCTCTCTGTGAAGTTAGGTTTGCAGAAATTTGTCTGCTTTGGTTCTGCTATTTCCTCTTACTTGTTTGCAGCATTTTATTTAAAGTGAAGATTTTATATTCCAGTCGAGGTAAGAAGTCTCATGTGATCACTATTACTGTGCATTTCATGTATGCAGAGAATGCATTTATTTCATCATACATCACTTAAATACACACACTTCACATACTGAAACGTGGAATGTGCTGAGGACTTCTTTTAATGGCCCACCAGCAGTTTCTATGACTTCCTGGAAGTACTCTCTCTTATAAGAATTTGATTATTAAGATGGTTTGAGTTGCATTTCCTTTATACCGTAAACAATTATCTTTAATGGAGAGTCAATTCCCATCTGTCAAGGATTGTTATTTTGAACAGCACTATTTCTGTATCCTCCATACACATGAATCACAAAACACACTGGAACAGGTTACATAATGCCTTCTTATGCAGTCAGAATTGAAGATGGATTTTCTTGTAGCAGATGAAGATAAATTGTTTGCCACTGCATATGATGAGTTAGAGTGAAGGATTTAGTCTGTTTTTTTACCTGGTCTGTGGACAATGAGAAGTCATGATCTACTTATGAGAGAGAGGTGTGTGAAAGATGACATAGAAAAGTTGTGTATTACTACAGCCCTGAATATTCTTTATGGGATCCATAAATGCAATGGAAAACTTTATGATCTATAAATTGAAAAAGAGTCAAACCTTTTGGCTTATGGAATGAAACAATAGATAATAACAGTCGATAATGTAAGATGTAGTCTTACCCAGAGCTGATATGCCAGCTTCCCACAGTATTGTTTAGCTATTTCAGTGGTAATCAGAACCTTATGATACAGCCATAAACCATTATTGCATGTTTGGACTGAGCCTAAAGATTATCTCCGCACTACTTGCAGACACAGTATGGAGATGTGTCTGATTTATTTGCTTCTCAGAGAGAGACTGTGAAGACATGACATGGTCATGCATACTTCTATACGCTTGCCATGAGTGTATATGATTTTTACTGAATTGTTTCAGCCTCTTCCATTCTATGAGCGATTTGTGTGCTAGGGAAAGCTTTGTATCATGTCATTTGTGCTGTTTAATTTGTGGGGCTTACACTTCAATTATGGGTCTTAGGCATGTCTATGGTACTGGTTTGTAATCTCACCAGTCTGTTATTGTTGCTGTGTAGTAAAGTGTGCAGCTAAACACTGGAGAGGCAGTTACAGCTGGAAAGTATTCCAAAGGTTATGGTTTAGCCCTGCAAACTGCAGCAGAACTGCACCTTTATGATTTTCTATGAAGCAAATGAACATACCCTGCAATATTGTTAATAGTGCTGACATTTTGTAAACAGAAGCAAAAGTATTTTTTATACTCTAAACTTAACAATACCTTGTTACTCTATTCTTAAAATTTAAACTTTAAATTTAAAATTTAAGATCACACTTGAGAGTGTGAAAGATAGACTTGTACTAGCCAACTGTTTTTCTTCATTTTGATATTGTATATAGTGTTCATATATTTCTTCCTTTAATTGAAGACTTTTCCAAAACCAGCCTGTGAAAAGCATTGTCAAACCACCTATCTAAGGGCAGGGTTTAAGGAAATGTTTGGTGTCCACCAAAGGAGTTCCCTATATGCCCACAATAGGCAGAGTATACCTTATGTTTTGTACTCTGCTCTGTGAGTTTTTCTGATGTTTGAAGAATTTTGAAAAACCTCCCTGAAATGTTATTTATTCTTTTTATACTGTTCCCTGAGGACTGGACAGTAGTTAGTGCTGCAAAGGTGGCTATTTGGTTAGATAAATAATAGCATGATTCAGGAAGGAGAGTCCTGTGTCATTCTTCTTTTAAAGGAGAATGTTGCAATTGAGGTTATTTCTAGATTTTTGGGGTTTTTAAAAAACAGTCCCAATGCTGACTTCAGCTTATTTAGCTCTGCAAGACCCACTTCCAGTATTTTTGCTTATGAACATGGAGCGTTACTTTGGCTCTACAAGTGGAGTCAGTAATTTTATTTCTCAGTTCTCATTTTTGGAGTGTTATTCCTCAGTTTATTGTGTACATGTAAAAGGAGCTGAGGGAAGAAGGCCTGAGGAGAGCTGGTACAGCTCTGTTAAGGGGAATGGTGTTCTTGTAGAGCAGTGCTAGCTAGGAAATCAGTACCTTTCCTAAACACCAGAGGAAGTTCCTGCCTGCTGGATGCAAAGGTTGCACTGTTCTGACAGGGAATTTGCAATTATTCTGTCCAGTTTGCATCCTTTATCTACATAGCAGAGAAGGGAGGGATTCTTGGATACTTAGTGCCGCTGCAGTGCAAGGCATGTTTAAAGTCAATGGCTCTTCCACCTTGTCTCTGAGCACAGCTGCTTACTTTCATTGAAAGCCTGGAGAAAGGCCTGTTGACTCACAAGTATAGTTGTGAAAGCTGTGTGCTACCTAAAAGTGAATGACAGGATTATGTGTCCATTTTATAGAATGTTAAAGTGCCGCTACTAATTTTCCAGAGACTGGAGGTGGGGCTGGGTAGGACTTTAAGAGCTTTGGGCACACCTCAGAGTCATTTTGTGGTCTCCCCATCTGTTGAAGTCAGGCTCAGCTGGCCATGGTGCAATGTGTGGGCTCTGTTCTCAGCGGAGAGTTGTGCTTTCCTTTCCCGCTGTACTGTATGTAAATCAACCCAGGGCAGTGGAAGCAGAAGGAAGCAGAAGTCTGTGGTACATCTGCCTTTCTAGAATAAAACTTGAATTCTGCTTGGTTTTCATGTTTTTGCTCATGTAATTCTGTTGTCTTTGCCAGGTGGTGTTCAGCCACCATCAGTGATATTTTGGCAATAGTGATGTGCTCGCTGGTGTGAAAGCCATCTTTTTTCTCAGCAGTTCTGCACTCTTAGGTTAAAGGTCCTGAGGTTTTGAGTCCCAAGGACTCTGAGTTTGCTGGATCCTCTTCTTTGGGAATGCCGTCTCCTACAACCCTCCATCTGTGGTTCAGGAGCTGTATTCACTCACAAACATGCAGCTGTCTTAGTGAATATGTCAGCACTGCACTGTCCATGTTCTCCATAGCTAGGGTATCATCCTTTCACTGCCAGGGATGTCCTTATTTATGCAGGTAATGCTATTGGTTGAGCACTGAGCACATCCCCATTCTTCTCAATTGTATCACTTCTGCTGAACTTCTGTTTAAAGCTGCTAATTGTATAGTTCAGGGCTGAGGTCCCTCAGCCTAGACATTGTTTCTGCCTTAATTTTGTAATGAAGTTTCTGGGGAAGGTGATATAATAAAGTCTTTGGAGGCTGTGCAATTTTGGTTGAATTTTTCTAAGGTGATTGCAAAACTGCCATCTTCAGTTCTGGTAAATTCACTCTCCAGATCCTCTTTTTTGATGCCAAATTTTAGGCATTGTTCTTTGCTTTAATTGGAAAAAATTGCCTTTGCTTGCATCATGATGGAGATAGGTTGAAAACGTTGACATTTCTAAAGAGTCAGACTGGAATTAGAAGACAATTTGTTAACAAGATTTTAAATTCTCAGCTCTGAAATTTACCATGGACCTGAGCTGTAAACCTCAATTTTGATTAAACTGCTTCACAGGTAAATAGAAAAATTAAATTTAGACTTAAAAGCTTCCTTGAGATTGGTGGGAGAGCACTGCATCATGTCACACTGGTTCAATTTGCAATCTACTCTTAGCAAGCTTTTTTAAGTGCTTTTGTGCAAGAGCGCTGAAATGCATGAGTCTGTAGGTAGAAGCTGTCTCTAGAGAATTATGGAAGAAGTCAATTTTGGTGAGCGTATTTTGGGCTGTCTTCTGGCCACCACTATTGTATTAGTTCTTTCCCTCTGAAGAGAGTGTTTGTCATTCCAAAAATTGTTGGGAAAGCTTTTGATGACAGTTTTGAGGAAGGACTCTAACACAGCCTTGTGGAATGTCTGAAGCCTGAGTGACAGAGTGGCTGTGGTGCAAGCACTGAGACTGATGTTCCCTTAGTTGCATGCATACTTTTCAGGCAGTTTGCTTTCTGCTGCAATGAGAGCAAGTATCTAACACCACAGGGGCCATAGTGACTTCCTGTAAGCATTCTGTGACCTCGTTTGTTATTTTAGGTGTGCTGTTTGGCGTCTGTTCCATTTGGGCATGTAATGATCTGCAGTTGTGTTGAAGAGACCATATAATTGCCTAAAATGATTTTAAATTTTCATGCGAGAGTGAACACCTCTTTTCAAGCTAGTTTGTTTCGAAGGTCTGGTTTTTGTGGCTTTTTCCTTATCAGAATGCTTTAAATCTGTAAATCTCTGTGTAGTTTGTTTCACTTGAAACGACATAGGAAATGATCTCCTTTATAGGAAGAGCATTTTAGTTTTTTTCATTTTTAAGAATGAAAAGCTACTTAAATTTGGTGGAGTAGATGCAAGTAGGAGTTCATTCACCCTTAGAATTTCTTTGTGGCTGTGAACACCTCACTTTGGATAGAACTAGTGTTCTTTTGAAATGCTTTGTAGTTTCTGACAGGAATTAGAGACAATGCTGGGGTTTTTTGTTCCAAAGCTGTGGGTGATTTCATGGTTTGAATTTAATCCTTTTTCTTGTGATTGTCTTGCACCTGTACAGGAGCCCCTGGAGACTATGATGTGCTGATTGTGTATGCAAGTGACGCCGTTGAATGGTGTCAGTACCTCCAGAACCTCTTCCTCTTCACTTGGCAAATTCGAAAGCATCGTATTCTGACCTACCAGCTTCAAGACAACTCTGCCATCACCCACCAAGAGCTGGACCTGTTCAGCAGAAGTCGGAGTATCATCCTTTTGCTTTCTGCTGAGCTGGTGCAGAGTTTTTACATTCCTCACATCCTGCAGAGCCTTCAGGAGGCTTTATGGCCCCCGTGCAAAGTAGTCAAGCTGTTTTGTGGTGTTACGGACTGTGATGATTATTTGACTTTTTTCAAGGACTGGTCTCAGTGGCAAGAACTCACAAATGATGATGAGCCTGATGCTTACCTTGCAGCTGTTGAGAAGGCTATTTCAGAAGGTAAGACCATAGCTAGGAGCTGTGCTTTCTGGTTGGAGGAGGGAGAGACCTGGTACTGTTTATTCTTAATTTTACACTGATAATGTGCTTTACTTAAAGAGCAAACTAAAGCAAATTGTCTAACCCTTGTAAACAAGAAAGTTATGGAAGCAAATTTTTCTATGCCTGGTTGGTTGGTCCCTAACTCAGGAGAAATTACCAGCAACTCTCAGAGAACTTCTGAATTTGAGGTTGTCTTGGATGCCTGCTTTTGAAGCAAATTGAAAATGAAAACTTTCTATATTTAAAATTTTGCCTGTAAATATTGTACTCTGCAGTTTATTGACCCAAATCAACGGAAAATTGTCTTTATTTTAAGGAAAAGAAATCTTTTTCTTCAGACTTGTTTGTGTCATACCGGAAACAAAATAAAGTCTAATATGTATTATCTAGTACTGGGCCTAAAATCAAAGATGTAACCATACTGGCAACAGATCACTTTGTTACCTATGATGAAAAGGCAGTGATTAATTAAAGAATTACACTGATGGCCTTAAAAATAACCCAACCAGTCTGAAAGTGATCCCCTTTTAACTAGTGCAGAGGACTTACTAGCACAGAAGTATTAAGAGTTGGAGACTACACAAGCACAATGTACTAGAGTCCTAAACTCTAGAAGAGTGTGTAGAATTCCTTTCTCATAGTTTCTGGTGAAATGAAGTTGGAGAGCTCTGGGCAGTCCTGCTAGTCTGGGTATTTTTATAACATTGCCATAGGTAGGGTTATAGTGTTCTTTGTCAGCCTCAGCAAGACTGGAATCCTGCAGTTGCATCTTGGCTTAAGATTTATCTCTATTCCATGGCATAAGTAAGGCAGTGTGTCTAGTGTTGTGTGCATAAAGGTTCTGGAGTCTGACTTCACACAGCTGGGTCTAAAGTCCTTTTCCATCTGTGCTGCAAGTTAGCATGTGCTGCAACAAACTGTGCTTTGGCTTTATGTGGGTGGTGTTGTGAAAGGGAGATTGTGCTTTGGATTTTTATTGCTGTTTCTACATAACAAAAAAAAAATCAGCTTGTTTTCTGTTTTCTCACTTTAATAAGCATACATTGATCTCAAACTGATTTCAGCATATCTAGAAAGTACTTGACTGAGAGAAAAAATGTGATAAAACTAAACTAATTTGCTGTGGAGTCTGCTGTAACATGTTCCAGATAGTTTGGTACACAAAGATTGAGAATTTCTGGACTTCCGTTACTATTATGGCAGTCATAGCTGATGTGGCTGTCACCTGCATGCCGTGTCAAATTTTTGGTTTGTGCACATCAGACCAGTTGCAAAGGTGATCCATCTGCTGTCACTGTAATTCTTGTGAAGGAAGAACCTATTTAAGATGGGCTGCTTTCATGGCCAAAGTATTTGGAGTAATGTATCAGATCCTACTTCTGTGTGGGGAAAAAACAACTCTGTGACATCTTGTATTGTGTGATTCTATACAAGTTCTGTGAATGGCCTCAAATGCAAATGTTCTGATGTTTCCTCTGAAGATAGCCCCAGGTGTACATAGTTCCTTTTTTGGGTGAAACTGTGAAAACTTTCTTCTTGACTGGTATAAAAAAATCTTCTGTATGATTCAGTTGCAGCATGAGTAACTTAGAATGTTTGTGACAGCAGACCTCTCCCACAGAGAAACATAGCCTCTGCTCTGGTCTTAGTTAAGTTTGAATTTTTCCTGATTAAGGCAGCCCTTAATTCTTACAGCACTTATCAGAGAAAGTTAATGACTATATTTGAAATTGTTTAGGTCTGGGTGTCTTCCTCTGGAAAGTACTTCTCTTCACATGCACTCACCCGTACTTCTAACAGCAGTGTCAAAACTAGGCCTGATGCTAAAATGACTCAGCTTCCAAATTGCTGAATCCTGAGCTAGTGAGGCATGGTACAGGGGTACAGGATGCAGTCAGGGCAAATTCTTCTCCAGAGGCTGCACACTGGCACTGTGCAGGCTGTGCTGTTGCCTCTAGAACCACTGTTGGCTGTAGTTTGTTTAGGGCATCATGGGACTATGACACCCCTAGACATCACATGCTGAAACCTACTTTAATTTTTATTACTTTAGTATGAATTCAGAAATGAAGAAACATTCATCTAGCCTTGTTGATAACTGTGTGCTGATGCTGACTCTTGCTCTCTTATAGATCTGGTATTTTTACTTCTAAAGTTTCTCAATTCTGGCAAACTACAGAGCACATGAAGGTTTGCATTTGCAGGTACTCCTGTTATCTGTGGGGAAGTTTTTCAGACTATGCAATAACTGTGCTAAGGGGGTGGAAATCACAGAATTATTATGGCTGGAAAAGATCCTAAAGATGGAGTCCAGCTACTAACTTAACACTGTTACATGTACCACTAAACCATGTCCTTCATTACCACATCTACATGTTTTTTTTTAACAGTTGCAGGGATGGTGATCCCACCACTTGCCTGGGCAGCCTGTTCTGTTGTTCAACCACCCTTTCAATGAAGAAATTTTTCATAGTATCCAATCTAACTCTCCCCTGAAGCAACTTGAAGCTCGTTGATCTTGTCCTATTGCATGTTACCTGAGAGAAGAGAGTCTAGAGCCTCCTCTCTGGTAGTTGTAGAAAGCAGTAAGTTCCAACTGAGTCTCCTTTTCTCTAGATTAAACAATCTTGCTCAGGATGTCTGTGTACACAGCAGCTCGGGCCCAGCAGGGTATAGTCACTAGCCAGGGTGCAGTGACCAGCTGCTGCTTAACCCCTCTAGCCTGGCCCGTCATAGCTGCGCTGTGTGCATCGAGCAGCTGGGAGTCTGAGCCACAGTCAGAGTCAGTGACCTTTCTCTTCCTCATGTGTTCTCAAAGCTCACTTGACATTTAAATTGCTCCAGTGTATTTGTCCCTAACTACATTGTTTTGAAACAATGTTTTGAAATTTGTTTTGAAAAATTGTTTTGAAATTTGAAATTTCAATTTGAAAATTGTTTTGAAATTTGAAATTGAAAATTTGTTTTGAAAAATTGTTTTGAAATTTGAAATTTCAAATTTCCCACTGTAAAAGCTGATGTTTCCAAAGCATTTACTAATTCATCAGTGCCTTTGAGCTTTCTGTATCCAAGCCATCTCTTGTGGGTAAAAACATGGGGAAATCCACATCTGCCTGAGATGGCTGAGGTGATAACTGAATATGACGGCAGTGGTGAACAAGTGCAGCCTTGGCTGAGCAGAGCTCTTGTGCACTGGAAGAGACAAGAATGAAAGATGAGTACCAACAAACAATTTATGAAATAAGAGGGTCAGAAGTTGGTGTAAGGAATAATATGGTTAAGATGGAGAGCGTTGGGCAGTTAGAAGGAAGATGAGAACTTATTTTGATTTTTGTAGGTCAGGAAGAGCTGAAATGTTACTCTACCTACTGAGGGGCTCATTAAGAGATGTCAGAGACTAAGGCAGTAAGCTTTTTTGAGAGGGAAATGGCATAAGAAGAACCACATCAGCTGTATAATTGCTCCTCTGGTTCATGTCAAGGAATTGAATTAAATTCTTGGCTTTCTTCTGTTGCATTGATGAAACTTGAGAGCATATCATTCAGGTTGGAAGGGACCGCTTGACATAATCTAGGCTTTCTGCTCAAGCACAGTTAGATAAAGCTCAAGACTATTTCCAGTTGGGTTTTGAATGTCTCTGCAGGTGGAGACTCTGCAGGACTTCACAGCCTCTCTGAGCAACCTGTTCCAATGTTTGACCACCCTTGAAAGTAACAAAATGTTTTCTTGTGTTCGGATGGAGCTTCATGCATTTTAGTTTGTGCACATTTCCTCTTTTCCTGTCAGTGGGCACTATGGAAAACAGTCTGGCTCCTTTTTCATTTTCTCCTCTCTTGTCCATATAAGATTCCCCTGAGTTGTCTTTTCTCCAGGCTGAAGACTTCCAGCTCTTTCAGCCTCTCCTCTTATGAAAGTTACTGTGGTCTGTGCTGGACTCAAGCTGTAAAGAAAAACCTTGGAGAAAGCTACTCGGAATTTAAGGTCACGTTGGATAGATGTTGTTAACTGTTTCTCAAACCAGATAGGGGAAGTTGTAGCATATGTGAGATTCTCTACAGCTTCATGTTTCTGTAATTATTTGATTATTTGTTTAGTTTTGCTAATAGTTGCCATTTAGGGCTAGAGACCTAAATTCACAATGTATTTTTAAGTTTGGTATGAACTGTCATGTGTTTACTTCTCCAGTCTCAGTGCTCTGTGGAGGAATATGTTCAGAGTAGTTCTATCTCAGCTAATTGCGAGCAACATTGACTTCTGCCAGCTTATTGAAGTGGCCTTGAAGATGTGAGGTGGTAGCATGCAGTTCTCTCTCCCTCTTCTTTGAAGAGGTAAAATTAAATGAACTCTTTAAACTATGTTTTTTTTCTTTTCTATCTTGTTTAAACATAAGATGTGGTTCTTTGACTCTGCTCATTGAAGAGGAGTGGATGAGCTATTAGTCAGCCCTCTGGGTGCAAATGAGCCTGTTTTCTTATATGGGAGCTCAGCAGCCTAGCTGGTTCTCACTGCCTGTCAAGAAGAGGAAACTGTGACGCCCTTGTGCAGGAGTTCAGGTTGAGAGAACATGCTGGTTGCATGCCTCTTCATGCATGGGTATAATTGACTGATGCTGGAAAGCCAGAGACTTCAGAGAGCTGGTTAAAGCAATTGACTAAACCTTAACTAAGCTCCCAAGTGATACTGAGAGTTCCCTGACAGAAATGTATGGATGTTCTTATCCATCTGTAGCATATGGGGTCAAGTAGTTAAAATAATCTTCCCAGCTGCAGGATTGATTAATTGTTTGTCATCAAGGCATTTCATAAAGTCACAGTTTTTTTATGTAAAAAGCAATACTTCATGGATTTTCTTTCATGGCATCATAAAATTCAAGCAGTGCTAGAATAGGTGCATACCTTTCTAAATAGAGACAATTAAATGATAGCCCAGAAATAGTAAAGGAAAGAAACTGTTGTGGTTAAGAACTTCAGACTATTATAGTCTTTATGCACCTTGTAAATACTAATCATTTTTCTCCATGGCTTGTGGTTCTGACAATATCCTCACAGGTTGCTTTATGGTCTAAGACTAATTCTAGGTATCTGCTAATGAGCTAAAGAACTGCAAGGCTTTAAGACACTTGCTTAAAGTAAGTGACCATCATCAGTGACCATCTCTGATCATATTCAAGACGGGAGCAGCTGAAGTAATTTCTGAAAAATCTTGGTAGAAGTATGTGGTCAAGAAAAAGATGCTTTGGAGAGCAGGTCTGGAGAGATGTATGGAACAGAATTTAGGTTTTTTCGCAGACACTTTGTGTGTACTTGGACAGTTGTTTTACTTCCAGGGTTGCATTTTGTAAGATTTTCATGGCTGTTTGTTATGACCGCAGAAAACTTTTGACATGTTTTTCAAAAGTGACTTGAGAATAACAGTGTATCTTGAGTTTCCCAGGGGGAAGTTTGACCAGTGACATAGGTTGACCTTAGCATGGAGTGCTGCAAAAGAGTGTCTACCTCATTCTCTTCCTTTTATCTGTCTGGATGATTGGGTGTGGTGTTGGACTACAAGGGTGGTATTCCAAGAGAAATTATTTGAAGGAGAGGCAAGGCGTGACTGCCCTTGCAGTAGTAATGTGGTCTTAGATCTACTGGAACCACTCATAGAACCACAGTCAAACAGTGACTGGTGGGATGTTTCCAAACAGCTGCCCAACTCTCTGAGGTGGAGTTTCAGGTTTGTTGGCTTTTATAGGGACTGTCTTTTCTGTCACACAAGCATTACGCATTTCACTCAAACTGAAGCAAAGAGGTACTGCAAGAGGAGATAATGAATTAGCAGGCTGGGTGTTCATGTTTCTTATGTGTGTCTTCTCAGGAAGTCTTGAATGAGTGATTAATACAATGTGATTTATGGCACCCTTGAAATTCCTAACAGGTGTGCCTTGTCAGTATATGTTGTCTCTTTCTGCCAGAATTAGTGGAAATGAACAATTCTAGCCTCTCTTGCTTGAGATTTTGGTCACGTACACGTCTGTTGTCTGGGTGGCCTGAACCCTGCTTCTTCCTCAATGTCTTCCCTATCTCTGTCCTGTTCCTGTGCACCCCAAGCTTTCTTTAGGTTTATACACTTGATCCTGTTGCAAATTGACCACTAGACTTGCAAGAACCTTAGCAAAACTTGACATAGTCAAATACACCTTGTTTCCTTGATGCAGGATGAGAAATAGTTTATTGTCATTTCAAACTTTGCATGACATATGAAACATGACTATGCTCTCCGTAAAATTGAAAATCTATTTGTAGGTGCTGTGCTTCTGAGGAGTGCTTGGGGTGAGGGGTTTGGAGAGAAGGGGAAATGTCTAATATGTTTTTTTGTTCTGTTTGAACAGTTTTATGCAGTCCTAAATTGTGTTTTGTTCTTCTCACTTGCTGATTTTCTGCACGCTTCTCTCCACTCAGTTGAAACGGGAAGTGTTGCTACAGCATCGCCCAGTTCTGAGGGCTTATCACAAGATGTTTCTCTGATGTGCGTTTATCTCGGTGGTGAAGCAGGGGCTCTGATGTTAACATGATGAAAGATAACTTTCATTGCTTTCCCTGACTACTTGTCAGTACTTTACTTCTTGCAAATGTAGCTGTAGTTGCTCTGGGAGACTTAATGTCTTTACTAGCACTTGGGAAAGGATACTGGCCAGTTGCAAGCTTCAGGTAAAAGCAGCGGCTCTCTTTGAGGGTCTTCCCTCTTGCTCTAAGCATAGTGAGGTCTGTGCCTAAAGTCTAAGGCCTTGTGAGAGCTAATTGTCTCAACTGGTTGATGGACAGAATGGGAAGTGTTTGCAGATGTCAGCAAGGGGCTGGTCTGCCCACTCAGAACTTAAGAGACAAGCTGTTGCCCAGTTGTACCGTTAGCATTAGTATCTGGGTGACAGAGTGCTCTGGACAGACTGCTGACTTCTTCCAAGCATTCAAATGCCTTGTGGTGTGAGGGCTGTCTTGTGAGAAACCACAGCTGTTGGCTCCATGCCGATAATCCCACCAGCTTCGCCAGGAGGAAATGGATGATAGGGAGAGCTGGGTGCTCTGCAGCAGCAGGTCAAAATAACTGGCTGCTTCATATGAGTTTCTGAAGCTGTTAAATGGCTCTTGACGCACACGTCCATGCCTGTGTTTTCCCCCGGCTTTTTCTTGGGATGAGTGTCTGCAGGACAGCTGTGCAGGGAACATAGCAGTGCAGACAAGAAAGGGCATGAGGCTGCTCTCTGCAGCTCAGCTGCTCATGTGTCCTGGAGGAGGGCATGTTCTTCAAGGGGAAATGTGGTTGGGTTTCTTGGACCACATCTCCTCCCGTTGCTGCTATTCTCACAAGTATTTCACAGACTGTCAAGTGAGGCCTGAGGGAACAGAAAGGAGAGAGCCTCTTATAACCATGAGTGTTGACCTACAGCACATGCTCATGGAGAAGCTTAATTCAGGTATTCACTTAACTTTAATAAATCTGTTGATCTCCTCAGTGATGGCCTCTCTAGGCTGGCTGTTATCGCAATGTTATAACTGCTGAATCTGTGTATGCAAATGGGTTGTCATTATTCAAGTATCCTAGTGTGTGGGAAACCTGCTCTAACAATGCTTTAGAGCATGGATATTATCAAATGTAATGGGATGGTTTCCTCTTCCAGAGCTTGCATGTTCATGAGTCAGTCACTAGCACATGACTGGAAGTTCAAGATGAATCATAGGATCACCTCACTGCTGATGTAGGAATTTGGTACTTCGCAATTTCGGTATTTTTTGAATGAAAAAACAGATGAATAATTCATACCTGAAACTGAATGCCTGTTCCTTCAGCTATTAATACAATTACTGATTAACATTGCCTGCTTCTTCCTGTATTACCTAACAGCTCTGTGTTCACATGACCTCCAGGCAGTCAACTCTGTTACAAGAATGCAGAAGTGCAATGCTTAAAACTTCTTAAAAGCTCTAGTTATTCTTTATTTGCTAAATTGTTTCTAGTATCGAATAACACCATTAAAGCAAAGAGACCAGGGGGCTTGTTTGCTCCTTGCCTCCCCTCTTATACTTGCTTGCTGTGTATGTTGTAGCTGAGATCCACAGCTTTGGTTTGATTTTTCTCTGAGAAGGACCACATGTTGGTCAAGTGGGATGAAAATTACTCCTAATTACACTAACGATTCTGGATTGGGTTGGGGATGAAGTTGTGAGGATCAGGATGCTGGCAAGTGTCTGTCCCTTTGTGCATATGTTGCAGGAACATCAATGTGTTAACTGTGTTTCGGTCATCATTGGCAGCTTCACTGTATGGATGCCACAGGTTTGACAGCCCAGTTCATCACTTAGGTCTTTCTTATCAGAACTGAGCATTTTAAATAGACAATTTCTTACTAATATAAGAATAATGACAGTCCAAGGCTGAGATTGTATCTGATAAATAATTTGTACTACTCTTTACAGATGTGTTTTTATAAGTAGTAAATAACATGTAAGTTCCAAAACATTGTCTTAAATCCTCGACTGCTTCAGAGACTTGCAAAGTTTGGGAAATTCTGACCACAGGAGATATTTTTAAGGAGTCATGATAGTCTTCTGACAAAGTGGGGTCAGCGACTTTCACCTTGTGTTCTGGGAGATGGGGAAGGGTGGGAGTGGTGTGAACCATGTGAATCAAGAAGTAGAAACTAGCTAAAAAAGTATTCTGTACCAAGTAGCTACGTAATTGTCTTTGGTTTCCTTTCTCTAGCTGAGAAAAGTATTTCCTGGCAGGGATAGATAATCTATTTCTATTCTGGCTAGGTTTTTTTCAGCCAGTGGTATCAATTCAGTTCATTTGCAATTCTATCAATATCCATGCTTGTTTTGGGAAATGAGAGTGAGAACATTGTTTTGTACACACGTATTGTAGGCTTACATGTGTTTGTTCTGCTCTTGATTCTGTTTAGGTAAAGTGCTGTTACTTGTCAATGCAAAGGTTCTGGTACTTTTCCATTTCACACTTGTATAGATACTGGAGCTTATGGTTCTTGCCCAATGAACAGAACCCCTTCAGACTACTGCTTCATGTTTTATTTTTTGATGCAATAACCAAAGTTGGGGAGTTGGGGTAAGCAGCACTGAGAAAATTAAAGATGCTGCTGAAATGACAAACATTGGTTTTCATATTTTATTTTAGAAAAATAAGACTAAAGGCTGCTGCCCATCTTGCAGTATATCAGAGTGCTGCTTGAGTCAGATGAGTTCAGATACTGATCATTCTTGTATTAGACATTCACATGCTGACTGTCCTGTTTAACATGAGGGGACTATCCAGCTCAGCAAAGAGTGTCACTGTTGTCTGTTCCATAAGCATATTCAGTGCTATTCTACTGCTTTCATGTCTTTGTTAATTTCCTCCTCAAATCCTCTTAAGGGAAAAAAAAAGAGGAAACTCTGTAGTTTCACTTTCTTCAACTAGATCCCCTTTTCTGAACATTACTTTGAGAGGAATAGCAAGTTCCATCCCACCACCTTCACAGCTGTTTTTTCAGATGGATGTTTGTGATAAGCATTTTCAACAAAGGGGAGTGAGGAACAGGACTCTCTATATTTTATTTTAGACTCAGGCTGTGACTCTGTGACTGATACAGAAACAGAAGACGAGAAGAATCCAGTTGACTCCCACAGACCTGCCATGACTGAAGAACCTGGATCATCCAAGAGCACTGGGGACTGTCCAGTGGTGCAGCCCAGCCGCATACAATGTGGGGTACTGTATGTCCACTCCTTGGGCTATGTTCTTACTGTGAGCTGGTGCAACCCATTATGCTGCTTTGTAATGGTCAGCTTTACAGACCTGGAAATTAGTCCTGAATTCTTCTTGTCACCTTCCTGCTCAGCCCCCTGTCCTCCATGTGTCTTGTTCCATGGGCTTGGCTCCCTAGGCCCAGGACTAGCTTGGTAACGTGCTGTCTGGGCTGTGGTGTCACTTCATGACTGTCTCATTAACATGGCTGCTTGGCTTGGGTGCTTGAGACAGGTTCACACTCTTCCCTTCCACTGTTCTGCTGGCAAGTGGGGTAAGATGACTGTAATGAACTGATTAACTCCACAGTCAGTAGCCAGTCTAATATGGCAATTCTGGTGCATGGCTTGCAAGTGACCCTGAGAAGCTTGGATCATGGTTTCTTGTCTGAAAAACAGCACTTTTTAGTATAGCATCTCCTGAGATGGAAAGAGTCCAAGTTTCTTTCTCTTGCTTCTGTTTAGAATGTGGCTGTGCTGCTTAAGGGAAGAGATGAATAGAGTTGAAAGTAAATAATTTTTTTAAATGTAACCCTAATCAGTTTATAAATCTATCTAATAAATCTGGAGTTCTACCAGTTTAATGCTTGTATCTATACTGGTGCAAGCTGTAGCAGATGCCACTTGCCCAGTTAGTCTGTGACTGGAAGATACTCCTGAAAATGATTCAAAACGGTTAAAATAATAGATGCTGATTGATGTGTTAGTTGCAATCAGAACAAAATCCCTAGAAAATGGATTTAACCAAATAAGTGTTTTTGTTTTGAACCTGTATGTTGTAATGCTTTTTGTCCTAGGTGCAGACAACAGTTTATATTATCATGAAATGTAAACTAGAAGGTGAAATGAAAACTGAAGTTGAATTTTCTCCAGAGAATGCATCCTCTGTGCGTGTGCTGGCTGAGATGGAGAATGAATACACAATCTCTGTGAAGGCTCCAAGTAAGATGAACTGAGATTTTTTTTTTTCTTTCCCCCCTCCTTCCTCATTGCTTCCTTTCTATTTCAACGTACCTGTCCTGAGAAGTGCCAAGGGCACAAGGGTAAAGACTGCAGTGTAGAAAAACTTGAGTCCAGAAAATCTTAAACTTGCATTCTTACCTGTGGTACTTTTGATGAGGAACTGAGAGAGACTGCTGCTTGTGGGCTCTGTTTTCCCCTCATCAACAGTAGGGTTACAAGGTGGAACCATCTTGCTGGGAGTTCTGAGAACACATTGCAGCTTGTAGAGCACTTTGGACTTCGCTGTGTGTTATGACCACCACCATATTAGCATTGGCATGGCACCAAGAGAGAAGTGAAGTGCCAGTAAATAATTACATTACTATAATGGCATGTTTTTAATGTGTAGTGATCTCTGTGATCAGAGCTGAAGCTATTTATTCTGGCTTGCCTTTTAATTTAGATATGTTCTGTCACTCTAAATATTTACATTTACAAAACTGAAGGTTGCCTAAACTTTAGGTTCACTGAACTTTAAAGGAATTATTTCAGAGCCTTAAAGATTGATATTTTTCCCCAGCATTATTTTATTTAATCTACTTTAGTCTGTCCTCTTGAAGAGTCACTCTGCCATTCTCTCTGAGAATAGAGACTAAAAGTCATTAAAGCAACTACCATAAAGTCAGTGAAATGAGTTGATTTTAAAGAAGGTGACCTCATGAACATATAAAGTCTTAATTTAATGTCTTAAGTCAAGACTTAAGATATAAACACTGACCTGGAAACTAACTTGTACTTTGAATTATAAACATGACTTTCACATTGATGGAGTGTACAGTGTAAGCTCTGAAGTTGCTAACAGTAAGAGAAATAATTTTTAATTCCTTTGTGTTATTGACTGTTTCGTAATTTCCTGAGTTGTTAACAGGGAAAGGCTAATTTTAGTGGCATTCAAATATCTGTGTTTCAAAGAGAAAGTTCAGACTTATAAATGCATATTAGGCAAAACAGCAAGAAGCTCCAAGGTGCAGGTAGGTGATAATCCTGTGCATGGGTAAAGTTGCAAAGCTGGAATTCCTTTTAGTTGATTTTATTCAGAGACTAGTAAGGCTGACAGAGGTTGCAAAATCTCTAGTGACTTTTCTGATTTCTTTTCCTTTCTTCCCCAGCTCTTTGTATTTATTGTATGGCTTTATAGACAGCTCCAGACAAGCCAGGGGTGAAGAGATATGCTGCTTTCTAGTTCAAGGTGTAGTACTTTCAACACTAGTGGTCCAGTCTACTGTTAGCAGAGGACCTATCAGGTTATGTGCATTGACATAGCTATAAAGAAGGTAGTTCCAAAGTACTTTCCTACCTAGTGTTCCAAGATCATGACTCCTCTCATGACTTTTCATGAATTCAATATAGCAGAGACTGTTTTGGTATCCATCTGGTGGTATATCCGAACTCCTCCTATCCTCACAATACATCATGCAGACTCATGCCAGTTGTTTGTGCTAATGGTTATTTTTGCTCTCTCTTTTTAAAGATTTAACCTCTGGGACAGTGCCCCTGCAGATATATTCAGGAGACTTGATGGTGGGAGCAACAAGTGTAACTTACCATACTGACATGGAGGAAATCAGCAATCTGTTGGCGAATGCAGCCAACCCTGTACAGTTCATGTGCCAGGTAAGGACTTCAGCAATCAGCTGCTTTGGAAACCAGATCTTTCAGAGGATAGACATAAGCAGGCATAAGCAAAAGTGCTTGCCATGAAGTATCTCGTGTGAAATGAAGAAATGCAAGGTTATTTAGGGATTTTTACCTAACTCTAATATCCCCTTTTATTGAAAGCATGGGTGTTTTTTCTGTCTTTGGAGCACATAGCTGACTAAGGTAAGTCAGGTTATCAAACTAAGAAAAAAAATGCGGTCAATCAACAGCTACATTTAGACCTTGATGACTATGAAAGGTTGGAATGACAGAACTTGATATAACAGAAAGTACCATAAAGAAATAAAATGTTTTGGAATTGGTACCTAGCCATTATTAAAAAAATATATAAATAGTAGAAAAGAGTCATATTAGCTGGAGGAAGCAGAGTAACATAAAATGATTCATTGATTCTTAAAACTTGCTTTTTCAATACAGTCACTCAGTTTTCCTATTCTGTTTTGCCCAGTTGGGGTACCTGAACCCTATTAGAGGGGTAAAGCTTGCACAAGGAAGTTTTCTACTGTGTTGTCCTGTTGCCTGCCTGCATGTTCCTGATCTGCCATGTAGTGGAACCCCAAGTTAATCACCAGGATACCTGGGACAGAGGAGACTGTGTTTCCCTTGCTTTTTAGTTCAAGTTGTGTAGCAGTTGGTGCTGGTTGATGCCTCTGCTTAGGGAGTATGCTTGCTTCCCAGTGGTAACGAACCAGTTCAAAAGCCAAACTAGCATGTGTACAATTCAAAGTGGACTAGTGCATACTTAAAGCAGGAGTGACCTTTCATTGGAGCACTTTCAGAAGTAAGTGTATACCTGCCAAGTAACTAGGAAGCAAGTTTTCTGTGCTTCCAGTTGCATGAGTGACTTTCTCATTGTGCTCTGTCCTGTGGAGTATACAGGTCTCATCTATTGAGCTTGATGATACTGTTTCTGCACCAGGAAGCTATCCAAGTTCTTTGACTTGAACATTTCTACTTCTTGTGTTTATACCTACTGTTTTCTGATTGTGTTAAATAATAAAGACAACATATAAATCTCACCTTAACCAAATCTCCAGACTCTACCAAACAAAAGTTCTTTCAATTTCTCTGGTAGGCCTTTAAAATTGTGCCATACAGCATAGAAGCCCTAGACAAGCTATTGACTGAGTCTCTCAAGAAGAACATTCCTGCCAGTGGTCTACACCTGTTTGGAATCAACCAGCTGGAAGAAGAAGATATGACAGCAAGTAAGTTTAAAGATGCTTGGCTTATTTTTTGGTTTTCTTTGTATCAGTTGTTTTACCTTGAAGCATCTTAACACTGTAGTGAGTGGTACCTGCACAGGCTGTCTCAAAAACCTTGGATCTCAGCCAGGAAGCTAAATTTCTGATGATGTCTTTAGAAAGGGAATTGCCATTTGCGTCAGGTGACCCTTTTTTATTACATGTATAATTCTCACTTCCCTGCACTGTGGCAGATGCTATATAGACAGCTTCAAACCAGAGTGAAAAGATGATGCTCCCCAAATGTCTCCCTGGTTTTCTGCTTTGTTCTTTTCTGTCTCATGTGCCTTTTTTCCACAGCCCAGTCCTTTTCCCCAAACCCCATAACTCGAAGATACACAGTGGGCACTGAGCAGTTGAGTTGGTATACTGTCTTTTTGTTATGATGGTCTAAGAAAGAAGTCCTTGCAAATCTGTGATGCTACATACATTTAAGCTATTACAGTGCCATATTCCCCACTAAGGTTATAGGACTTAAGCCTGGAGATACACGAGATAATTTGTGTAGTTGGCTTGATTTTGAAACCATATATATACTTCCAGGGATTTCACAGCTGCTTTGGTCTGTGTGTTTGCTGTGTCTGTTTCTCACTGGCTCTGCTGCTACTAGAGAAAAGCTTAGCTTCTAATTGGCTCCTGTTCTCACAGATCAGAGGGATGAGGAGTTGCCAACACTGCTTCACTTCTCTGCAAGATACGGGCTGAAGAACCTTACTGCCTTGCTGCTTACATGCCCTGGAGCACTGCAGGCCTACAGCGTAGCCAACAAGTATGGCCACTATCCAAACACCATAGCAGAAAAGCATGGCTTTAAGGATCTCCGCCAGTTCATTGATGAATATGTGGTAAGAAGCTGAGCTGTCTGCCTCGTCCCACACTGGGTGCAGGCTCTGGCACAGAGCTTGGCACTTTGTGTTACTGGAACAGGAGTGATGGGGTGATAAAGTGTGTTGTGGTAGGGTGTAGAACACAGACATCCAGCCACATTGAAAGCTTTCAGGCTGGAGGGTTAGGTGCATCTCTGGAGCCAGGGAAATTCCTGGGGCTTTTGCACAGAGCAAGTAAGATGGAAGCAGAGACTGCCATGCTGGCTTCCATTCCACCATCCATCTAATGAAGTTTCTGAGGAGATGTGGTTGGTGCCTAGTGCATTCTTCTAGTTCTGATATTGGGAAAGAGCCCCTTCATCCAGCTTACTTTAGGGAGTAATATGGGAACAGAATATGTTTGGGAAGATACAATTTGAGGTGCTCTCTTATTAGCTATAGTATGGGCAGGATTGCTTACTAGCTCATTCACAGCTGATCTGTGTATTCTGCCTGTTCCAGCTGATACCCATTTCTCCCTACATTGATATAGCTGTCCATTCCCTATTTGTTCTGTCAGGGATCACAATTCACAATTCATTTCTATTTGAGCTAACCCCACCTCCAGAAAACACACTCTGACTTTTCCAGATTATGACATGGACCTGACTCCAGCTGCACCAAGCAATTGTTTCTGTGTAATACTTGGGTATGCATAGAGTTTCTCCTTTTGTTTCAGTTTGAGCTGTTTCTGGCCTGTATGCTTCAAAATAACAAGAAACTCCTTGATTCAGGTCACATTGACCACATCTGAATTCTATTTGCTTAGGTGGAAAAGTTGTGTTTAATTGTCCTTAACATTGTCTGAGCGCTGGTGATAGATCTGCCAGCTTTAGTATGGTTCTGCCAGCCAATTACTGAAGTGTTGAAGCTCTATTTAGGAGGCATGGGTAGTTCTTGGACTTGGGCCTTGCTTCTTGACATTATACATTAGAGCTAAATAAAAGTCATTCCATATTCTGAGATCAGGAGGGCTGCAGAAACTGTAAATTGTGTGATCACAATCTTTGCATCGGGGTAAGTGCGAGATGTGCAGGAAGTCCTTCCAACCTCTCATTGCAGTACTGTGCTCCTCCCATATTCTCTCCACCAGCACAGTGACAGAGCTGTGTTAAGAGCAGGTCCTCCTTACCGACCTGCTGAAGCTGTCAGTGCAGCACAGTACAAAGCACACAAATCACCTGCAACAGTGTGACTACTGCAAGGTAGTGGCTACTATCAGTAGTATGGATGTCTGAAAATTTCATTAAAACCCATTACTCACCTAATTTTCTTTCTGGCAAAGGTTCCTCTGCACCTCTGTAAAGCATTGCATGAACCACTGGCCTGACACATTTTGACTGTGGAGGGAAGCATGTGTAGACAGCTTTGACACACATGCCCTGTGGATTGAGGGCCCATGAGTCTGCATTTCTGGATGGAAAAATATCTTTTAGTATTGCAACTGTTAAGGTGGTGCTTGTGACATAATTGGAATTTGGGAAGGAGGATGGGATGAAGTTTTACATTTTGCTTCCTTGTGTTGTGATTTGGTGAAGTTCTGCCTTCCCCCCCGCTCTGTGTTGCAAAGGCATAAGAAAGGATTCTGCTCTCCTGTGAATCAGAAGTTGTCTGCTGTGAGGTTTCCTGTTAATATCACAGAAAAGGGTCTGTGTACTCCCACTCTGGGTGTTACATGCTGCTGCTAATGCCAAGAAACTGAAACTGAATCTACATCAAAGCTAAAACTTTGCTATTTTGCAGGTGCTCTGCATGTGATAAGCTTTGCTCCTTATGGTTAGCTATGTGTACCCCAAAATAGCCTTTGACAAGCATTTGTATTTTTAGAATGAGCTGTGCTTATGTTCTGGGAGTTTGCAGACATTGGGTAGGACATGAAAGTGACAGGGTGAGAGGGTATAATGGCTACTCAGAACATGTCAGCAGCCCTTGTTTCACCTTTGTTACCTGTTAATACAATATAGATCTCAAAAGTTTGACCCAGACAGCTGTAAAGGGGATTTAAGTCACTTGAGAAGCCTTAATCTTTGGGAATGAGCTGTCTTCAGAGGTTTTTTTCTATCACTAATGGCAAAGTGAAGTATCTTTTGCTTGCTTTTATTCTCTAGAGTCTTTATTTAAAAGACACTTAAATTTTATTTTCTTGCCCTCCTTCCTCTCCAGGAAACTGCAGATATGCTAAAGAGTCACATTAAGGAAGAGCTGATGCAAGGCGAGGAGGATGAGTCTGTATACGAGTCCATGGCTCATCTGTCCACTGATCTGTTGATGAAATGTTCCTTGAATCCAGGCTCCGATGAAGAGCTTTATGAATCCATGGCTGGATTTGTCCCGGGTGCCCCAGAAGATCTTTGTATGTATATTCAGAGTTACAGAATTATGGGAAGGTTTGGGTTAGAAGGTACCTCTAGAGCTCACCTAGTTCAAGCCCTCTGCAATGGGCAGAAACATCTTTAGATCAGATTGCTCAGACCCATCTCTTACACACAATGGCACCTCAGTTACAGCTTCTCTGCTCTCACCACAAGGAAACTATGCTGCAGTTCTAACATTGGCTGACTGACAAAATTGCTCTATACCTTTTCTTAATTGATAGTGTACAAGATCAAGAGCTGTTTCTTCAGTGTTTCGAGGACTCCCTGAACCCTGAGCAAATAAACTAACATATGGAAACGAGACTAAACTTTCTACCGTGCCCTGCTTTTTCCTCCTGAGGACTGGGTACCTAGGAACAATCTGACACTGACAGAAAAGAACACTGTCAGATGTGATTTTACTGACAACTGGGAAACTGAAAAACAAGAGCTGAGATTCTAGCTCAACAACTTGAGAGCAAAAGAAAGCAACCATCTAGAAATATGTGTACCAAAAAGATTATAAGTGAAAAATCATTTTTCTAATATGATTGGTTTATTGCTAAAATCAAAGAGCTATTTCTGATAAATATGCATATGTTTAGCTTTTTCACTATTGCATTAATATTCAGTGAAGCCAATTGAAAATACCAAATTAAATACCTCTATTAAGCAATTGTAAATTTGCTGTTCTTACTCACCTGTCTGTTTGGTCTGACTTAATCCCACTGATCTATTTTATATTTCCCATAATTAGCATATAATTTAGCTTCTTATATTTTAAGTACTTCCTTAAAGTTACTTAAGGACTTCTAGTGTTTCTGCAGTTTTTAAGTGTGCTGCGTCAGAGGAAAAGCTTTCTTTTTGAAACACTTCTGTGTATGGGCTATAATGGTCAAGGACTGTTTTTCTCCTCTTTTAGATTAAATTATACTATAAAACACATTTTTGTTGATTATGAAGTCCAGAAGACTGTGTTGGTTCTTTCCTTGAAATCATAAACTCCTTTCTGCTAAGTATTGTTGGCCACTGCAGGGATAATTTTGCTATGAAAACCAGGATTATTCTGCCTTCAGGTAGAGATAAGCTGTAAATCAGGTTGGACTTGAAAGGAACAAAGCTGCTGTTGTTTGCAGTAATGAGTGAGAGTTTCTAGATGGTAGGTCTTGGTAGGTCTGCCTGTAATCAGTGCACCTCTGAATGGGTTGATTGACTAAGCCTGTGGAGGGTTAAAAAACAACCTCAACACTACTAAGCCAAACTCCTCTTCTTCCCGGCCTGAAATGCCCAGATCTCCCAGAAACTATGCACAGAGTTTTGCAAATTGAGCTCCCTGTAATTTAGCACTTTTGAAGTGGACTCTGAAAAGCCTCCCTTTCCTGCTTCTTCTGGAGTTCTACTGTGTTGCTTCTGCACACAAAGTTCCGCTGCCTTCCATTCAGGAGTCTTATTGAAATTCTGTTTTTCTTACCTGGTCTGCTAGTCTTTGCCTGAAGAATATTAACAGCTTGTCTGAACAGTGCTTAAAATCTACCTGTATTATAACAGATAAATTTAAATTGGCACAATTCTCAGCACTTTGATTCTCTCTGGGGGTGCTGGCTGGTTTAGAGCTGCCATCACAAATAAAGGATTTAAGCTTTTGTACTGACTTGAAGGTTTGTGAGGATGGCTCACTAGGGAATCATAACTAATTTCTCTTGAAGTACTTTTTCTAGGAATTACCTGTATGTGAGTAGATACAGCTGTGGTGTAGAGGAAAATACCTTGGCTATTTTAGGTGTAACCATACTGTGGCAGTGTGCTCCTTTATTGTGATCAAGATGTGCTTCCACCACAGTTTTTCAGAGACTGATCAAAGGAGGGTTAGATACCACAGGGTCCATTTTTCTGGTAGGAACTTCTTTGAGAATAAGGTAGCAGAGGACTGAAGCCATTGTAATGAGTTAAAAGTATTACATATTCTCACATGTAACCCAAACTATCTAGTTTACATAGTATTAGATCTATGACATAGATCTCAAAAATTCTACTTATATCAATAAGACTCAGCAATCCATCTATATCACTCTCGTTTTTAATGTCATTGGCACATGGTTACCTAGCATTTTATTTTAGTTTTAAGATTAGTTTTAGCATTGTGATGTCCACCTTTTTCTTTAAAATCAGAACTCTTTATGTCAAAACACTCAATTAACAAAGTATCTTATTCTTTGCTGTCAGTCCTTTCTCAATACTGAATTATCATCTGACCCTCTAAACACTTTCCAGATCCAAGTGATTAACTCAGCCAACTGTTTTGACTTTATTCCAATAAATAAAACAAACACTATCTTACATGTTGTCATGGGAAAATTGCCTTTAATGTCTTGTTTTTCCAAGCCACATGGTTTCCTCTCTGGAGCACTGTGCAGAGGTCAAAACTTTCACCTGGCCAACACACACTCAAGAACAGCTAAAACTCAATGCCTTCTTGAAACCTTGTCAGAACTTCTCAATAGCATTGTTAGTCACCTCAAGTGTAAGCATCAGGCAGCTGGAAAAAATTTGTGCAGAATGGACTGAACATAGCAACTTAGAAGCCTTTTCCAAGGAAAATGTCTGGTCATTTGCCCATCTTCTTTGATTGTCACACTATAAAGTAAAGGTCCAGTTTATTATGTCATATTATATTGTTCCATGTATTGAAGGCTATAATTAACAGATTCATCTTTCTGGTGGTTTTTTTTTCAGATGTAGAGATGCTTCAATCCAAACCAGACACTTCAGTTGCTGGAGATGAAGTTTCTATAACTACCAAAGACTCAATGCTCCGCAAGTTTTTAGAAGGTGAGACCTATTTTGAGGGAAGGATGGCAGTAGCACAGTTAAAGCAATTAAACAGAACCTGAGAGTTCTTCATGAACTCTTAAGGATAGAAGATAGCCCATAGAGTTTGCTTTTTTCAGACAAAGGACTAATTCTCTATAGTACTTTGTAGACTATCATACATAGCTTTTGGAAACCATTGGTCTGTTTGATTTGTTCACTATTAAAGTATGTTAATGAACTGAAATTAATTAAAATTAACTGTTCCTCAAATTCTTAAAGAGAGTTAGTAGTTTTTTCACTATTTCTTTAAAAGAGATGGTACAGGCATAATGGCAAACAGTTACATGCTGTATGTAATGACTTTATCAAGTCCTGTCATGAAGGTCTTTGGTACATTTAGGGCACTGCAAAACTGGATGGTTTTGCTTGTGAAATTGCCAACTTGGTAAGAATGTGGTACATAATGGATCTGGAGGGAAGCAGTGTTCAGTGAAGTGGCCAGGTTGCTATTCTTACAAACTCTGCTCCGTTGTAGGTGGTAGCATGAATGCACCAGATTCTGAGGAAGGAGGTAACGAGCAGTATGGTGAAGATGTATACTACTCAGTGGAACAAGACCCTTTTCCACAGGAAATGGCTAACAGACCTCCAGTTCCTGTTCCAAGACCAGAATCTAGCTCTCCACAGCCAGACAATGAGCTGTACATCTCCAAAAGTGAGTTGGTTACCAGTGGAAATGTAGACCAGTAAACTGTAGAATGGCATTGACATGGGCTCCATTTGCCAAATATGTGCCAGGATCCCTGGATTATTTGACTCTGGAGCTAGGTCACCGTTGGGATCCAATTCTGTATCTGTTTTTTCATCTTTTGCCTACTCTGAATGAGGGGATGTTATATCCCAAGATCTTAGCCTAAGCATAGTATGGTACAAAAGGCACCCCTGACTGGGAAGAAATGATGATGTTTGGTTTTAGATTAGAAAGCTGAAGGATAGTTTTATTAAAACTATTCTATATGACATAAATATATTATTTAAAGAGGGACTATTTTATTCTACACATATATTATGTACTTATTAACTAACAAACAAACTTGTGGCTGCCTGTTGAGAGTTCAAGACACAGCTGGATTTAATTGGTCATTGAACTCAAACAACTTTCACTAGAATTTAATCAAGTAATCACTTCAGGTAAACAATCTCTATACCAAATTCCACATGGGGAAAACAAAGAAGCAGAGATAAAGATTGTTTTCTCTTCTTCTCTCTGTGCTTCTCTTGAGAGACAGAATTATGTCTCTCTGTCCAGAGAATATGAATGCCACAAGCTTGCTCTTGATGAAAGTAGTATCATGACAGATTACCCCCAAATGGAATAAATAAATCCAACTAAGTAGGAAAGATCCTGATATTATAAGGACACAATCAAGCTAGTAATTGAGACATTGCTGATCTGTAATGCTATCATTGATTCAACTGCATTTGTACAGGACATGATTTTATACCTCAGTACCTCCCTCTGAGGTGAGGTTTTATTGAAATTGAAGATTGTTCCTCCTAGTTCATTAGGCAACTTTGGAAATCTAGGTCATATATCGTGAACATTCTAACAAGAACCACAATGACATGTGAGAGAGTAATTTCAGTGACCTTTCCCACTGTGACAGGACTATGGGAAATCATGTCCAGATTTCTCTTAGAGGTGGCTGAGCCAAATTCTTTGTGGTCAGTAGAGAGGGAATTCTGCCATAAAAATCTTTTTCTTCAATGGACTTAAAAGGGTAACAGAAGCTGTAAAGCAGTGTAGAATTGTGTATGCTTGCCATATTCATTCTTGCTATTTCTATCTTCATGGGATGCATTTCAGTATCTAAAGAATGTTTCTTTTTGCAGTTTTTGCACAGAAGGCTCAAAGACCTGAGAATCTTTATGTCCCTAGAGGAAGGGTTAAGAAAGGTAAGGCAGAAGTTCACCCTGAAAATCCTTTCAGTAATCCAGAAGCCTATCTGTTATGGTAGCTTCATTTGTGTGAAATATGACAGAATAGACTGATTTGCAAAGTTATGGGGATAACTGTCATCTATGAGTGACCTAATCTTTTTGACCATTTGTGACACTGGAAAAATTTATAAGTGCAGAGTGTGAGGGGAGCACATCTCATGTCTTGGGAACTCTTCTTTATGTTACGAATGAGTTTTTAGTTTCTGGGCTTAAACTACACAGATTACCTAGATAGAAACTAGCTTTGTGGCTGCTAAGGTAAAAGCTCTGTTCTGTGAATTGCTGAGGAAGCATGGCGCTGTAAGGAATGTTTTGTGCTCTTTACTTAAATTATGTTTTTAAGACCAGAACTTTCCCTGGGATATATTTGTGTATGAGGCTACCTCTCAGCTGGGCTTTTAGACCTGACAAATACTAGGATGGCCTAAGAAGAAAACAATTCTTAGGAAACACTCGGTCCGTAATACTTTTTCCCCCTTTTTTTCTTTTTTTTTAATGCCTGCCAGATCAAGGGAACTCGATCTCTTTGTATTCAGTGAGGAAGGTAGATGCACAAATTTAATAATATTTTTGCTGGTGCTCTCTCCTCAGAGACAATAGTCAGGCCTGTAAGAGACCTGTCTCAATCAAGTATATATGATCCATTTGCTGGAATGAAAACCCCAGGTCAGCGGCAGCTGATAACATTACAGGAGCAAGTGAAAATGGGGATCCTCACTGTGGATGAAGCCGTACTTCATTTTAAGGAGTGGCAACTGAATCAGAAAAAGAGATCAGAATCCTTCCGGTTCCAGCAGGTACAGACTTATGCTACTGTTTAAGAAATATGGCTGTCTCTCTAGGTATATATCACAAGCTTCTCAGCATGGGTACACTTTTTTCCTGGTTGGAACAGGAAGACTGCTAACAGCTAACAGAGTTTTCTCCTGCCATGGGAGAGCTGTTCCCAATAATCAGCAGACAGTTTTACAGATCTGCTTGTCTTGCAGTAATATTGTCAGGTTTTGAAGATCTGTATACAAGGAATTGGATCAAATCCAGTTGGCTAAATCACCTTTCTAGAGGTCACCTAGTACCTACCTGCTGGCAGGGGACTTCTGTGATGAACATTTAACTTGTTGGTTCTCATCCATTTCAGATCAGTGAAGGCTCTGTGTCCCAGATGATGTTTTGGCTGTAAAGCCCTAGTTGGTAGATGATCTGATTTCTCCAACTGTTTGTTGATGGCTACAGGACTGTTCATTGCAGCTGGGCAAGGTCTAGCAACAGTCATTAGTAAAAGCAGAGTGTTTGGGTGCCTTAACAGAAAGAGGGAAACAGTTGGCAGCAGTGACATAATGACTGGTGGAACTATCAGTTATAGTTTAAGATTTTCATTCTCAAGTTAGAGTGAGGCTCCCTCTTTAAAACCAGTGCCTGCTTCTTTTGGAGCCTTTTGTTCATGCTGTGGCAGTCTGGTCTCCAGTGGGTGACATTGTTTTGGAAGTTGTCAGAACAAAGGCAAAGCTTTTCTCCTCCTGATTCTCACTTGGAAAGGTCCTGTCTACCCAGAAGCAGTCGGAGGAGTCCCTTCTTCTACCAGAGAAGAACACAGTGCTATTTAAGTAAATTGATGTAGAAGAGATGAAGTGGCATGCTCTGTGCCCCATGCCATGAGTAGTTTTCAAAGTCTCTGCTCTGAATTTTGCTTCAGCAGTTGCTTCCTCTGCTTTTCAGGAGTGTCCTCCTCTCAGATCTGTACATATTTCCCTGATGAAAAAAAGTTGTCTTTTTTCTCCCTATCTTTTTGTACTGTAAGGTGTAATATGCTGCCACACAATGGTAAAGAGTCTTTGCTCCCAGTTACATTTCTTCATCGGGGATATCCTGAATTCTGAGTTGTACCTTACACTCTAGGATGCATGGCAGTCTTTTATGTCCCTGCAGTCAGAATAATCTGTTCATTAGTACAGAAAGGACAGTGCAGTTACTTGATTGTGGGTCTTGTTTCTGTGCCAGTGTCACAGCAAAGAGAAAATACAGGGGGCTGTAAACCCAATTTGCTGCTTATGTGCAACTGCCTGTATGTGACCTTAACATGCATCATGAACATCAGAAAAAAACCTTGGCTTCTGAAAGGCACACATGGGTTTCTGAAAGGAACAGATTAAAACCTGTTGACATGGTTAGGATTTCAGCCAGGTCTAACAAGCTTTGTTACAGCTTGACTGCAAAGTTAGCTAAAATATAATACTGGTTTTGTCAAAAAGCTGCTCATCTTCCCTTATCCAAAGCCCTGAAAATAATATCTTGTGGTGTTTTTAGGAAAATCTGAAACGTCTACGAGACAGCATAACCAGGAGGCAAATAGAGAAGCAAAAAAAAGACAAAAGTGCAGGTAACAGTCTGTGATACTGATGTTCTCTGGTAATGAAGCATCTAACCATATTAATAAGCTCTTCAAGCAGATATGTGTCCATGTGTATTGTGGTTCTATGATATTTTAATATGCATATCCATGTGCCATTTGGCAAAAACTTAGGGAAGTTGCTTTGCTCCTCACTTTCACAGCCAAGAAAAGGATGCCCCCATCTGTGTGATTCATTCATGTACAGTTATGATTATCTTTATGCAATTGTGTTTAACTCTGTCCTTATGTGCAAAACTCTCTCTTGGGGGCTATAATCACATAGACCTTTCTGAGCTGTTCATTTTCCCTTCCAGATTTGGAAATTACAGTACCCATTCGACATTCTCATAATACTTTGGGGAAACCAGAATGTGGAATATATGAATACACCCCCAGGAGAAACGTTTTTCCACCAAAAAAGGAGTTAAAACGAGGAGACTGGAAAACAGAAAGCACATCCAGCACAACAAGTAAGCAACCACTGAGCATCACTGTCCCTACTGGAAAGCTGGATGGAACACACTTCCCACACCTTACCCTGGAGTCAACCCAGGGGACAGGACTTTTGTTCCTGAATCCCAGCACTGACAATGCCACCCCAAACCTTGCATGCCTCAGACCAGCTGTTCTCAAAGCTGTAAAAGCAATTCCAGGTGTGCATCAAGTGGTTTGGGCATCTTGTGTCTGCATCTCTGCAGGAGGAGAACCTGAAAGCTGAGTGAAAGATTCTCTTGAGCCCTTTTTTCAGTTCTTAAAAGTAGATGACAGCTGCTCCCTTATTGGAAAGGATGCTCCCATGCTGTGACTGCCAGCAGGCTGAGTGCTCTTCTGGCCTGAAGGGCTGGAAACCAGTCTCTACATGTTGTTTCTTCAATTGCTTTACATAAAGGACAGTATTTTTCATTGGTAACTGTGAGACCTCTTGAGTGACTTGGGCAGTCTGCACATTTTTGTCTTTGCTTTTCATTACATTTAATTTTTGCAAATTAAATCCCTGCATTCTTGCTCTTACTGCAGACCGAGCAATTCCTGCATAAATAATTTGGGATCAGTTGGGTCCTTTGAAAGGAAACCTGACTTCCTGTGAGGTTACCACCTTTGTGACTCTTGGCAAGATGCAGCTGGCATACATCCAGAATAGGTGCCAGAGGCAGCTGGCTGAGGCAGTAACTTGCATACAAGCACATGTGAGAGAAGCATTAACAAGTCTGTAGAGCTCTCTGTATGCAGCCTGGCACTCTTCCTCAGGTGTGATGGTGAGAATGGACCCTACTACAGTATTTAGCACTCTTAAGTGTTGCTGTTTGTACCAACTGGTGAGACTTACAAAGCTAGCAGGGAGGGACTGCTTCTTAGGAGGAAACCTCTCTAGCCACCAATTCAGTGTACAGGTTTCTGAATATTAGTGTCCCAGTATTTCACAGCCTTATAGAATGCAATCTATTTAGGACTGAAACCAACCAGAGCAATGTAGGATATGTTTGTGAGTTGCTGTCACCTTTGGAATTGGCATGACTGATTGAAGAAACTATACATACTCTGAGTCCATGACAGTCTAATGGGTTTGCATGGATGGGTGCTGAAGGTTGTTTGAACAAACTTGGTTTTAGCTTGGAAATAGACTAGGAACATTCCTGTGATGATTGAAGATTGTTGTAAGAGGGGGTAGTAAACAGTTATTTATTTGAAGCAATAACTCTTTAAGTAGTAACTCCAGGAATGAATATGTGACAGCACTCAGATGGGGACTGATAATTTAAAGGTACATAAGTGTTGGGTGTGTAACCTTTGTGAAAATATTTGCCTGACTTTCCGGATGATATTGGCATTGCATCTTTTCAGTAGATTATGGTTGTGAGATTTTAACCAGAAGACTGGATAAAGAAAGATAAGGCAGAAATGTTCTAGAAAGAAAGCATAATTTAATGGTTTGGTCCTGGTATTTCATTGGTATGAAATGCTGTTGTTTGGATCGCAAATATATTAAAAAACCAGTGAAAATAAATTAATCTAAACAAGAATGAATTATATTTGCAAGAATCAAGCATGAGGTTAGAAAGAGCCCTGAGTTAGGGATTTGCAGTTAAATCAGCAGGTTTTTTTTATTAATCAGTTTTTCTCTTGCTTCCTCCAGGTAGTGCAAGTAACCGCTCCAGCACTCGGAGTATATTGAGTGTCAGCAGTGGGATGGAAGGGGACAGTGAGGTAAGCTCTCACCTCTGCTATGTACTGCTCTGCTGTCCTTAGGTACATGCTTGTGTTTTCATGCAGAAAAAAGGGCTCAGAGCTGGCATTGCATTTAGAGAAATGCCACAACTGCTTATGTGAGGATACTAAGGACCAGATTCTGCTGTTCTGTAAACATTTCTCTTCATTTTGTAGGACAGTGAAGTCCCAGAAACAGCAAGGAGCCGCAGCCCAACTTCTCACCAAGTAGAGAGGCTTCCTTTCCCAGAAAGGCCTCCCAGAGTGCCTCCTCGAGGTGCAAGCAGGTAAAACTAAAATGCAGCTCAAAATGTGTGCTTTCAGTGAATCCTTATGGAAGCCTTGCACAGAAAGCAAGGCAGTTAGCAAAGGCAGAAAGTGAGTGTGTTTTTGAACAAAATCTACCAGACTGCTATCTGTCAGCAGACACTGTTAGGAACTGTAAGGTCATTGTTTCTCATCTACGTGTGGAGGAATATGTTTCCTAGTTGGTAACAAGGCTGTTGCAGTGCTGTCCCTGTGGTTTATGCACAGCGAGGGGCATAGTAAAGCGCACAACACTTGCCATAGAGAGACTGACCCAGGTGGAGTTACATCCTGCCCTTGGCAGAGATTTAGTACTTGCCACTCCTGAAAATATCCTCTTGGAACATACAAAGTGTAGTTCAGGGAGAAGTTCTTTTTGTCATTCTCTTGGACTTTTTCTTTTTGCAAAGTTCAGATCTCTCCAAAGCATGTATGTTTACATGTGTTACTGGCCTCAAAGAAAGAACTGCACTGGTTTTATAAAAGGTGTTGAGAAGATTTGGATAATAAACTTAAATAACTTTTAAACATTCCTTTAGTCCAACCAGTGAAAATCTATGAAGTCTATTCTCCAAAAAGTTATCTCAGTACAGATAATAGTAAAATTCTCCAACTCTTAAAGCAGTAATTGCCACTGTGTGGGGGCAGCAAAGTCTGTGTTGTTGGCTTGTCTTTGGCAAGGAAATAGCTGGAATTTATCTGCAGTTAGTTTGAAAAAAGGTTTTGAATCTTTTGATCTTTTCCTATCACATCTTCATTTCAGGAGAAAGCTACCATACTATAAAAGTTTTACTCCAAACAACTATTATATCACCTCTTTGCAGTAATAGTAGAATTACTGCAGCTTAATGACAGAAGAAATAGCTTGGACAGGAACAGTGCCCTGGCAGCTTGGCATCTGCTCTGTTGCTCAATCAGGCTGTTTTTCTTCTTGGATGACTACTGATTGTACAGTATGTTTACATATGATGTTATTCCAGAACTCTATTTTCTACTACTTTTACATGCATTTTCATTATCTGTCTTTTTATAGGCCTGTAAGCTGTGAAGGCTTTTATCCTCCACCTGTGCCCCCAAGAGGTCGCTGAATCTCTCAACATCTGTGGAATATGAGACTTTTTTTGTTTATATATGTGTTTGTACAGATATTTTTTTGGGCTGCGTTAAATTATTTATAAGTGGGACCCAAATAATTTCATCCGCCCTGAAGCTCTGGTGACTTTCCCCATGATTTTCACTGGGACCTTTTGGTGTTCTATAACTTTTTTTTAGTTGGAAGAATTTTGGTGCTTTGGGGCTTCAAGAAAAGGTATCATCATTGGGTAGAACATTGTGTATCTTGGGAGCCCTGCACCAACATGAAGATCCCATTTGATCAAGAAAGCACATGTGTCCTTTTAGGAACTAAATCCTGATAAGCATGGTTACCAAACCTCAGTATGGTGTATCAGGGCTTGACTGGAAAACATGCTTAAAAAGTAAAGAAAATAAGATGTTTGAAAAATGCTCATTACATCAGGAACAGGTGAATGTACTACTGCTTGGCATAACATTTTGGATACGATTATACTGACCTTTCAGAAGGTGTAGCAACCCCCTTTAGCGATCATTAAACCATGGGGGATGAGAAATTGTCTTCAAGAATGTATTTTGCATACAGCCTTGAAAATGCCTTTCCTTTTCCTGTTGGCTTCCTGAAGAGGACAGACAAGGCGTTGTGTTTGTTCTATTTACCATGAAAATTCCTAAGACATCTGGTAAGGGACCTTCTGTATCCCAAACAAACTGTGCTTAAACCTTTTTCAGGCAGGGTGTTACAAAATCACATGACTGAGCTCTCAAATTAGAGAAGGACTTGGTGGCAGTGCTGTGTTCTGTGTCTCTTATATGTGGTCATTATGCAGCAATATGAAGGCATTTCACTTCATACTCTGGAACAGTAGTGAGTCTCCAATTATCAGTGCACACCTCTCACAAATACCAGCTGTATTTTAGCTGGCTGCAGTGGGAACAGCCAGCCTGAGGCTGGACTCTGCTTGCTCTACTGTCCCTTTCTACCAATGTGAATCTGCAGCAGCTATGTGCAGCCCTTTTTCTGAACGAGGGCTTACAAACTTAAGGAGACTTCCTGGTCTGGCTCACTTCCAGACCTTGAAATCTTCTGTGCATCCCAACCCTTGAGAGACAATTTAAGGTTCTGGTTGTGCATGAGTGGCACAGATGGGAATTTGCAAGATAGCATTCAGGGTAGAGAATTAAACATCATTGCATACTTGGTTTTCAGGGATGAAGAAATGGGGTAATGGCTTGAAAAACAGACAGATCTGTATTAGGTGATCCCTCAGGTATAGGTAGAGCTTCTGTCTGATCCTGTCAGCTCCCCTTCATCTGTAGGAGAGCAGGTGACAGGGTTGCAGTTCCTTTCTCTTGCAGGGTGGCAAACCCAATGCATGAAGCTGCAAAAGTGACAGCAACCATGACTTGACCAGCACTGAATGAAGATGGAGAAGCCCCTGCTGCTTTCAGGGATGTCGGAATCTGTGGTATTGATGATTCCGAGATTGTAAGAAGTCTCTGTATTTCTGCCCCGTTGCCAAAGAAGAAGCCATAATTCGTCTGTGCTGTTTTCAAGGTTGTTTATTCTTGCTTATCTCTAACATGTTCTGCTGCCCTGCCACAGCTCTGTCCTGCAGGGCAGCATGCGGGGCTCTGCCCCTCAGTGGGATGTTACAAATATTATATACCAGAAAATACTTGTGCTATTTACAATAATGTGTCAATATCTATCACCTACGTTGAACAGTGTGTCCCCAGCATGGAGGGCATGAAGAAGGAGAAAAAGGACAAAACACACCCAATTTCCTCCATCTTGTCCCCTTTGAACCCCTAATCTAGAAACCTAAAGTTTCACTTTTGCATCCATGCCACACTTAATTATTATTCATATCAAACACTCAGAGCTTGTATTTCATCCTGTAAGATTGAAAACTCTTTTCCATGGACAGAGATCTAAGACAGTGTCTCTCGGGGCTCTGTCCAGGGGGGTTCCTGACCTCTGCCAGGGTCCCAGGCCCTCCAGGGCAGCCAGAGGGAAGCCCTGGATTCCCCCACAAGGATATAGGCATATGCTAAATATCACCTATACATTAGGCTCATAGGATTTGGGAGCTTCCAAATGCAGTTCATAAATCCTCTCCTTTTGATGGCAGAGGGATGCAGGTGTTGTGCTTTATACACAGCACAACAGATACAGAGGTGTCCTTTCTTTTTTTTTTTTATTTTATTTTTAAAGGAACCTCAGTGTTGTCTCCAGTAACTGCCACTATAGATTCACAGTGAATTTGCTTTTGTTCGCTGTAGCCAGGGGAATGGTGAGAGCTGCCTTCCTGTGCTCTTCTTGGAATGAAACAACGTTTCCAGCTCTATTACCTCAAATTGGAAGGAGGTTTTGGTGCTGAAATGAGGAAAATAGTAACAAGGATAAGTGAAGAAATTAGGGATAAAAGAGATAAACCAAAAGAAATTCAGCAGCTTGATTGTGTTCAGCTGTCACATGTATTGGTTTGCACACAGCTCCCTGGTTTTGCTCAAAAATTCCCTATCTTCTTGGTGCTGACTGCAGCTGTGCCCCAGGCCTTGGGAGCTGTGATGTGGTAAGAGGAATTTGTCTGCTTTCACATCTACAAGGTACAACTTAACGTAGAATTGTAGGAGGTGGGTAAAACTGTAATAAGGCAGGAAAAGAAGAGCAAATTATATGTGTATCATGCAGATTTTCTTTCAGCACTGTTGGACTGAAGCAGCCCAGTGATCCATCTCTCCAAGTTAATTTTTAATTCTGCATCCCCTCCAAGTTATAGCCAAATATCTATGGGGGGGGATTTATCTGAGCATCTGACTTTGCAGAATCCTAATAGCTGTGAACTGGACAATTATTGCATGTGCTGTGGAGAGATGGTTATATCTGAATTACTGAAAAGTAGCTCCTAAGTAACCCTTCAGTCCCTCTCCCATTTGAAGCTTGGATACTTCATTACTCTGACCTGACCTCTCACATAAAGCCAAATGCTGGTGGGGCTCTGGGAGAGGTGAGCTGGGAAAAGGGGAGCTGAGCCATACTGTAAATGCATTCTCTTCAGGCCCCTTCTGCACTGCTTAAGGGAGAGAAACTGAAGATGCAGCTGTAGTTTCAAGCATTCCTGTCTCACTGCTGCTGGATTAGTGAGGGATCTCAGTAACCAACAATCACTGCAAAACTCTCACCCTATCAAGGAAAAAAGGAACAGCACTAAGATGGCTTTACTGTTGGATGCAGGTAAAAAAAAAAACTGGATGCAGTCATGTCTTTCAAGCTTCTTACAGGCTAACAGTGATGCACCTGCTTAGCCACCAAAGTGTGTGTTCCATGTAGGTTGGATTCATCTAGTTGCTTTCAGCCTCCTACATTTCAATGTATGCAGCCCCTGTATCTGTATTTTTGCTGGTGAGCATGTGGTGTGTGTTGCTTCCACCCAGGATGAAAAATGCACTAAAACTGAAGATCAGAAGAGACCAAAGAAACAGTGTGCATGCAGATTGATGGTTATTTAAGAATATGCTTGGGAGGGAAAGTGGAAAGGGAAAATGTGAACAGTGTTTCTGATGCACATTAGAGCTCAAGGACTGAATAGATAATAAAATTGCTTGTAAAAACTTAAATGGCCTGGCCAATTGTAGGGGCATCAACCAATCCACCAAACTCAGGTGCCAGCTGGCAGGCCTGGGGAAAGTGTTTGTTCTTTGTACAGCATGCCTTGCAAACCCTGCTGCAGCAGATGGCTCTGGTTGGCCCTGGTGCTGAGAGGCTTAAGTACTGAATAAATTGGAGATGCTGAAGCCTCCTCTCTCTGTCTCCCAAGGGTAAGCTACTCTATTTTGGACTGAGATGCATTGACTAGAAAGAAACATATGGTGTTATCAAAACTGTCTAGGTTTTCTTTTTTTTAGTCTGTATGTGTGTGTGTGTGTAATACAAGCATGGCTTTTGCATGAGTTTTGGCAAGTATCTCTACAGGGATTTTGCTCCTGCTGAAACAGTGCATGCACTATCTCCGGAATTTCTGGAAAAGGCTTCAGATAAAATATACCTTGTGAAATATGTTCAGAGAAGGTAGAGGGAATGAGTGAAACCACAAGAGGAAAAGCTTTTAGCATAGGTATGATGGTAACAGGGAAATCTGTTTTCTGCATCATTTCCACAAAGCATGGATGACATGTAACAGCATAGAGTTCCTGCCTTCTGCTCATATCATTTGTTGTCTGTCTGCTTGTTTGTTGGCTCTGTTTATTTGAGAAGATGGTATAGTGCCCCCCTTTTTAGAAGAATATGTAAGATAACTTTTGACATTTTTTAATGTAATTAATTTTAAAGTTGTCTGATGAATCAGTGTTCAATACTATGAGCGTTTTGGACTGAGGGCTTTGTTTGGTTTGGTTTTTCTTACTATGAACTTGTACTTTGAGGCAGGTCCAAGTCTGGAGACAGGTTTCCTCTGGAGGTGGGCTTTGTCTTAGCCAGCACTAACAGAAACCTTATCCTGAACAAGGTCCAGGTGTGGCTGTGCCTGCCCTGGGCCCCGAGTGCTGCTGCTGCTGCCTGTGTGAGTGGCGTAGAGAATGGGCCTGTGTCTTTCACAGAATCACAGAACTGATGAGTTTGGAAAAAAACCCTGAGAGTGTCGAGTCCAACCTCGGCCTGAGCATCACCGTATCAACTCAGCCATATCTGGTCTTTCCTTAAACACCTCCAGGACCAGGTGACTCCACCATCTCCCTTAGCAGCCCCTTCCAATATTTGATCAGTTATTCCGTGAAGAAATTGCGCCTGGTGTCCACGCTTGGGCCCCTTTCCTCTTGTCCTGTCACTGGTTCCCCGGGAGCAGAGACCGACCCCCGCCTCGCCAGAGCCTCCTTTCAGGCAGCCGTAGAGTGAGAAGGGTCTCCCCTAAGCCTCCTCCTCTCCAGGCTCAAAAACCGCTGCTCCCGAGACTTGTGCTCCAGAGGGTGTAAGTACCCAGCCCTGCGCCCCGCCGTTCCCAAAGACCTTTCGGTTTCTTTGTCGATCAGAACGAAATACCAATTACAGTTCCGTCGATAAGAACGGCGCTCCCGCCGGCCGCGCTGTGCCCGGGGCCGCGGGGCGCTGCCCGCCCGCGCTCCCCGCACGGCTCCGCCCGCCCCGCGGGGCCCCGGAGCGCTCCCGGAGCGCCCCCGCGGTTCCGGCGGGCGGGCGGGTGACGTGGCGGGCGGGGCGGAAGTGGCGTCGGCGGCGGGCGCGGGCCGGTGCCGCGGCGGGGCCTGCTGGGGACGCCGAGGCCCGAGATGGCGGCGCCCGGGCTGCTCCTGCTGCTCCTGCCGCTCCTGCCGCTGCGCGCCCGCGCCGACGAGCACGAGCACACGGTGAGGCGGCGCCCGGCTTCCCCGGGAGCGGCGCTCGGGCCGGGCCCCGTGCCGCGGAGAGCGCGCCTCGGCGGGCGGGAGGGACGGGGAGCGCGGGCCGCGCCTCGGGGCAGCGGGCGGCAGCCGCCCCGCGGGGCTCCCTCCGCGCCTGCCGCGCCGCTCGGGCTGCTCCGGCCGCGCCGCCCGGGCCGGGCCCGCGTTGCGGTTCGGCGTGCGGGGGACGCCGGGGCGCTCGGGCAGGGCCGCCGGGTTCGCTGATCCGGTTTGCACATCCTTTTGCGGCCGGGCGGGGTGTCCCACCTTTTCCTGGAGCAGATAAACGCCCCGGCAGGTACGCGTGCTTTGTTTGGAGAGCGCTGTTTGCTCTGCCCTCCTCTCGGGAGGGTGTTTGCTCTTGCCTCGGAGCACGAGTCCGGGCCGGAGCGCGGGTCTGACAGGCCTGCGGGACAGGCGTGACAGCTCCCTCGGGAAGCGGCAGGGACGGCGTGGGAATGGGCTGGGCAGCGAGAGCAGGGCGGGGACACTGCCACGGACCCGCAAGAAAAATGGTTGTATCAAATACTACTGATCTAAGCGTTCACGCATTGGCTTGAGAATAGTTTTTCTGAAGTGCTCGCAATATTACTCAAAAAGAATCTCTAGGGAAAAAAAATACCAGTGCTTTGTCAGTTTCTCATTTTACATCGGAGTGTTGTTTCCCGTGGCTTTCAGTGTGAGAAAGTGGAAGTTTGTGTGATGAGCTGAGATGTGATTTTGCAACGAGACTTTCCTAGAAACCATTTCTGTTTGCTGCAAGTGGAGTGTATTAGAACGTGGCTATGATTAAACACTGTGTCTGCCTGACTGCCAGGACTTTTTTTGCTCTTGAGCAGCCTGGCTGGTAAACACTTGCTGAGTTTAACATACTTTTCTTAAGGTGTGGTGTGGTAAAGCTTAGCAAGTGTTCTTAATGAAACAGATAAATAATATTGACAGCTTTTGTGTAAGAGGTAGATAATTAGTTATCTCATTACATTTATTTTTGAAGCCTTTAAAACTGATTAAGATTGTGTTTATTTTTTGAAAGGGAAAGGGTTTTATTGGTGCTGCAGTTAATGACAGAAAAGTTGCTCTAATATTCAGTACTTTCAAGAAACAGATATTCTTTGAACTAATTTAGGCCCCAGTTTTGTTGCTGAACCTATGCTTTAGAGTGAGGCTTTTGCTGAGGTGAGATGGTTTTCAGCATAGTGCTGTGTTTATTTTAAGGGCTGGTTGACTTGAGGGATTATTCATTATTAAACTAATATTGGTAGTCTTCTGGGGGAAAAAAAAAAAGCTGTCACTGAATTGGTTTGGGTTTGAGCTCTCCCTTCAAAAGTGATTTCTGATGTTTTTAGGTCTTCTGAATGATTGCCTTAACAATTACCCATGGAAATTACTAATTCCTTTTGAAGGCTTGTCATTTTTTCACCTAAACTACTCAACTCTGAGAGATTATAAGTCTATTTTGGTTTAGTATTCTTGTTCACATAGCATCCAGTTTATTAACTGGATAGGTTATGTGATAGGTTAGGAATAGCTGGTGTAGAAAGACAGTTACCTTTTTTTGGAAGGCTGTCTCCTTGCTTGGGTATTTTGATATTTTAATCTTGTGTAGGAGATTGGAGTGGAAGCATTAATAGTATGAATGAAGTGTGACCAGGGTTTTGTAGTAGTGTACTGATGTTAACATAAAGAACCTGAAGGAAATATCCCTTAAATACTGTATTTTAATAAATTTCCGTTTTAAATATGAGTTCAGCTGGGAGATTAATTTTCTTATAATTAAAGTGCTTTACTACATTTTGAAGGCTCAGCTCACTTTTGGAGAAGTGGGAGGGAAATTTAGGATTTGGTAATCTCAAACTAAATTTTCGCTGACTTTAAGACTCGAGAACTGTTGGTAGGAATACACATCCTTCTCCTTATCCTTCCATTTCCTCAGTGTGCAGCTCCCTGGGGGAAGGTGTGCTGGTGCATCCTGACACAGCTGTACAGGGTGTTGTCAGTTCTCAGCATGTTGGACCTACAGAAGTGCTGCATTAAGCTTTTAATGCTGCTATAACATGGAATAGTTTGCAGTGTGTGCTGCAGTATGTATTACACATGTCCTTTATTTTATGGTTGTGGACTTCTAAGCAAATACTATGAAAAGTAATTGTGAGAGGACTCTGCATGAAGCCCTAGGTCTATGCTATTGTTTCTGGAGATATTAGATATGGATAGTGTCATTGAATCAACAGTTTATATAGTTTATCTTAAAGTTGAATTACTCTTTAAAAAGAACAATGTAAATATGTGGGTATTTAAAATGAATAGTAACTGAAGAGAAATTTTTGCCACAGTATTTAAAATTTCCATTGTCTAAAGACAGTACAACAGCATAACTTCAGACCATGACAGAACTGAAAACTTGTCTGGTGATTCTTTCACTTACTTTCATACTTCAGAGCATGTAATGTAATGCTCATTGCTTGTATTATAATAATTGCAACATTTTTTGACAGTTGTCCTTTTATTTGTGGAAGTGATATTATCAATGGGGTGCTGGTGGCCTTATCTGATCCTGCAGAAACAGGGCTGAGGGGCTTCTGCCTGGCCTTTGCTTTCACATCTTCTGCTGCTAGACCTGTTGGAATTGATGATGTAATAGACAAACCATAAAATATTCTGAAATATCCTGTGGTTTTTGTTGCAGGAGAATTATCTAGAAACTTGGTAGTATTAAATTTTTATGTGGCTTTAGTTTGATTGTCTGTGCTCTGTAAGAAGAGAAATAAATGAAAAACATTGAAAAATAAACAAAACCCAGCCTATATTCTGTAGCAAATGAAAAACATTGAAAAATAAACAAAACCCAGCCTATATTCTGTAGCAAAATTCCTATTTTAATATGGTTGAGAAAAGCAATTTTGCTTGACTTATACCCTGATTAAGTACATTAAAACCCTGAGCGTGTAAGGCTTATTTAAAATTAGTATATAGAATTAGGAACTTTGTATAGTATCTGAAAATTGTCAGAGAAACACTGTGGAAAGCATTTCAGTTCATGTAAAATACTTATTTGCATGTGAAGTTATGTGCAGATGAGCAGCCTGATTCCTCTTTGAAGTTGTGTTTCCATTTTGAAGAGGTGAAATAAATGTCATGGAAGCAGGACATGGTGTGCCTGAGCAATCTTGTGCATCTAGGAAGTGTAACAGTAAAAGTACTTCATGTACAGAAGTTCAGCCTATGCCACCAGTACGGTCCTAGACACATCCTGGTGAGGCCTAAAATTCAGAGAGAAATAAAGAAATGTTACTGGAAATAGCCTGCTTTGTCCAAAGGAAAGCATGAGGCTGAAATCCACAGTTTAATGGGATGGATTTAATATGGATATGAGCTGCAAACATTGAGTATTATCACAGTGCTTGATAGATGGAATATCTGTAAGATACTGAGGACTGCAAGCCTGGGATATTACTTGCCAGGTGAGTCTTGATTGCTGCCTCCTGTATTTTTGTCTTGCTTCTATATCTTTGCTTTGCCATTAACAAATAATGTTGGTCCTTTTTTCCCCCAAAAGATGTGCATTGTGATGCATATAATTCCAGACTTCTATTTGAGGAAAGGAGTAAAACTGCATGCTTTCTGAAAGAAGCTGTCTTGATTGGAAGTTATTTTGCTGAATCATCACATGAGATTTGGCAGTTGTAATCATCTTTTTGTCTCCCATCATTTTTTTAGAAAGTGGTTTCCTGGTTTAAAGAAGAATATTAGCAGCAGTCTCATATATTTTTCTGCAAACTTTTGTATACTGACTTAATCTAGCCTTAATTGTTTTGTAGAATAAATAGTCTATTTTTAGGGTTAGCATGCTAATTTCTACAGTTGTGCAAAGAGAACATAAAGTTACTTTCCACACCATGAGTGCCCTGTTGAGAAGCAGGAAAGAAAGATGCATGTGCTGTACTGAAGGAAGTGTCAGTATTGCTATACTTGAATAGTTTTTGA